TAAAAGTTGTGGTGAATGCATAATGCAAAGACTCCTGTTCAAAGAGCTGCAACGCTGCACCAGATTTCGAGCAGTGGCCCTATGGATCTTGTATGTATTGATTTTTTATCTATGGAGTCTGATTCCAAAGGCTTAAGCAATGTTTTGGTAGTTACAGATCATTTTACTCGCTATGCACAAGCGTATCCGACCAAGAACCAAACTTCTCAAACCGTGGCCAAGATTTTAGTTGAGAAATTCTTCGTCCACTATGGTCTTCCTGCTCGAATCCATTCCGACCAGGGTAGAGATTTTGAGAGTCACCTCATCAGAGACTTGCTAAAGACATTGGGGATAAGAAAATCACGCACAACCCCGTATCATCCACAAGGTGACCCACAACCTGAAAGATTCAATCGTACACTTCTTTCAATGTTGGGAACTCTGAGCACAGACAAGAAACGTCAGTGGAGCCAACATGTCCCATACCTAGTCCACGCATATAACAGCACCAAGTGTGACGCTACTGGCTTTTCACCATATTTTCTTATGTTTGGACGTGAAGCCCGGTTACCTGTAGACCTGTGCTTTGGGATCTCCCCAGATGACGCAGTGGAAAGTCACTCACGCTATGTGTCAAAGTTAAAAGAAGATCTGCACCAAGCGTATAAATTAGCATCTGAAACAGCTGATAAAATCCATCAAAAGAACAAAAATGCATACGACAAAAGAGTTGGTTTTCAATCATTGGAAGTAGGCGACAGAGTCTTGTTAAAGAATTGGGGTCTCAAAGGAAAGCACAAGTTGGAACCAAGATGGAGTCCAATACCTTACGAAGTCATTGGGAAGATGCCAAATCTCCCTGTGTATCAAATAAGAAGAGAACATGGGAGTGGTACTATCAAGACCATCCACAGGGACCACATACTACCTATTGGACAGCATGTGAAATTGCCACCACCAGCTGAAGAAAAGCATTGTCCCGTCAGACGAAAGGCAAAAACTCCTACACCGCCGAGGATTATGGTCGAGCCTCAAGTGTCACAAGAATCCGAGTCAGAGTACGAGTACTATGAGCCCCAGAGACGCCACTACACTCAAAGAGTAAAGGAAGTTCTCAGACAAACTCTAAGGCCTCAAGAGACTCAAGGAGACCTTGCAAGTGATCAAGAGAAGGAAAGTGAGGATGAAAGTATGCAAGAGTCGCAAACAGAGAATGAAGAAGAGTGTGGTGAAGAAAGAGAAACTGACACAAATCCAATGGAGACCACTCAAGGAGAAAGTGACCAAGAAGAATTTGAAGAAGTCTATTCTACTCCAGAACCAGAGGTGAAGATGAGAGCAACACGGTCTGCCAGAGTTCCAAAACTTACAACGCCTCATGACCAAATGGCTGAAACTCCAAAGTTTGTGTCTAAGAGACAGGTTAAACCAGTAGTTCGGTTAACCTATGATGAGCCAGGAAAAGCTAAAGACCAACCAATCACTATAATCCATAGAGGTGTGGTCATCACGATAGGAAAAGATCATTAGCCTTTGTTTAGATATGGGTCATTCTTCCCTAGTTCATTTAGTAGTATGGTAGTCTGTTGGGGACACCAGACATTTAGTGGGGGGAGGGTGTAACCCGGATAATAATCGCAGTGTTAAAAGTGAATAAAAGTGGTAACATATTTAAGTTATAAAAAGGTTAAAGAGAATTCATTGTTTTTTGATAATTCATTAGCATAGATTGTTCATTAAAAAATGATTAAACATATTTACAAGTGTTAAAATGCATAATTCATATTTATTTTATTTACTATTTTGTACATGTGTAAAAGTGCTGTTTCTTCTGATTCTTGGATGGTCAGTGAAGGTGACGCAACGTTGTGTGAGAGAGAGAGGGAGAAAGTTCGAGAGATGCTCGGAGGACAGTGTGAGCTAACGTCGTGTTTTAAGAGAAAGTTTTTTTTGTACCGTGGTGTTTTTAAAAAAAGAAAAGAAGCCATCGGGAGAGTGAAGTGCGATAAAAACTCAGTAGTTTCAACTCGGAGCTTATGGACTGTGTTTTCATCGCTTATTACTTGCTTATTGAGATTGTAAAAAAACAACCTCATATCAAAGACTGAGGCTACGGTTCGCCAACCCCGCGAAACCGCAGAAGCTGACGGTGGATCGTTACCGAACTGGACAACGAGACAGACGGATCCCAGATAGCACTCTGAGTGCCCGCGACGCTCAGAGTACCTCTGGCTACGTGGGAAACAGCGGCGGGACGAGACGTATTGGACCGGGTGGGACCGCGCACCTGCACCGCCATTGACGCCACACCACTGCCCGGAGCCCGCTGAGCACTGAGAGGACAACGCGAGGAAAGACCCGGAGCTGAACTACAAGTATCGGTTGAATAAACGCTGTACACAAGGTACCTTCTTTCTTTTTGTTTATTTTGCTCAGTGAGTGAAGCGACCATCAGTTTTTGGTCTCACCGCACCCAAGCATCGATACAGGCCTGCAACGTAGGGTGTATATAGATGCCGGCTTTAGTTAAATTGTAATGTATTCATTGTGTCTGTGAGCATTGTTTATGTTACAGTCCCTTGAAATGTGCATTTAACTGGATTTTGAGCTTTATTATTTTCTTTTGTAATTAAAGGGAGGGGATTTTTTTATACTTACCTCGTGTCTGGTGTTAAGTTAATTCAGGTATTTGTATCTGTTTGGAATATCTTTGTGTGAGTAAAAGTATAGCCCTGCGACCCAAAATAGTATAAATAGCTCTAGAGTCAGACTATTTAGTACGGGAGTACACACATTAAGGAACCCCTAGCCCACTCAAGTAAATAATGAGCAAACAAGGGCTACATAAAATGGAGGCACCGCTGGGATATTTTGGGTCCATCTAGAGGAATTAAAGGGGCAATACGTAAGTTTCTAAAGTTTCCACAAAGTTACAGAAATTACATTTTCTGGTTCTTTTGGCTCATAAAACCATGGCAGACCGCACTAACCATGTTGCAGAGCTGAAGAGGTGGTGTCGCGGTGAAGGACTGGAGGAAGAAAAAGCGTTATTGGTAGTGGTCCCAGAAGATGTGGATATAGCCACAATTGAAGAAACTGTGGGCACCATAAAATGTTTTGGACGCGTCCGGGTCAGAGGCCGCATTTTCAACACTGCTTTGAGTTCCCTCACTGTTCTATGTGAATGCAGAGAGAAATTTTCACAAGGAGATGTGCCCAAAGAAGTGGTTAACATGGAAAGTGAATTGAGTTGGCAAATAATCACGGTTGGCGATGCTGCCCCACTTGATGACTTCCGTGTTAAGCTACAAACTCTGTTAGCTGCGGAAGGCAAGACCTTGGAGGATATTAAAGGTCTTCTTCCTAATGCTGCGCCTCAGTCAACTTACCCCGAGTCCCCAGCCAACCCCACTGAGTCCATTCTGCTTGCAGTTGGTGATCTGTTGGAGAAAACCTGTAAACCGACAACTGAAGGTGGCTATCGGCGTTTACGATTGTTCTCTGGAAATCTGCCAATACCCCCCAGTGAAGAGGCATTTGACCACTGGCTTGAACAGGCATGGCTCATGGTGGAAGAAAGTGAATGTTCGGACAGAGAAAAAAAGCGCAGACTAATCGAAAGTTTAAAGGGGCCCGCACTAGAAATTGCAAAATCAGTCAGAGATTCAGATCCTGAAGCATGTCCCTCAGAGTATCTGAATGCATTGGAAGGCGCGTTTGGAAGTGCAGAGTCTGGAGATGACCTCTACTTTTCCTTTCGGTTAATGCAACAGTTACCCGGTGAAAAGCTGTCGGATTTTCTGAGGCGCTTGGAGAGAGCCCTCATAAAAGTTGTCCAGAGAGGAGGGTTCCCAACTAGTAGCAAAGACACAGCTCGTTTGGAACAGCTGTTACGAGGGGCCACCGCTTCTGATCTTATGCTTATTCAGTTGCGTCTCCGTGAAAGAAAGTCCTCACCTCCCACATTCCTCCAGCTATTAAGTGAAATTCGCACTGAGGAAGAGTATGAGGCGTCAAGACGAAGACTAAGATCTTCAGTACAGCCAGTACGGACAAAACATGTTGGAGCTGAAAGCCATGCGGAATTACAGAGTTTGAAAGATGAAGTAAAAGAGCTCAAGACCAAACTAGCCTGTATGAGCTTATCCCCTGCAGCCAAAGAGACACGGCGTAGTGCATCACCGGTATCCACAACCCAGTCAAGTGAACACAGTGATACTTATGAGCTTGCTGCTTTAAAGAAACAAGTCAAACGGCTTCAGCATAAAGTGGAACAAAAAGATGATGCTCCTGAACTGTCTGAAAAGCCAGCTAGAGTAAAAAAAGTTGATGTTTCACCAAAGACAAGCACTCCCAACAGAAACCGACAGCCACTCGACGAACAGTTCTGCTATCGTTGTGGTGAACAAGGACATTATGCGGCTAAGTGTCACAATCCGGAAAACCAGGGCAAGGTTATAAGGAAGCTCATTCAAGCTGTCAAGACAATGAAAGAAAGTACCACGACAAGTAATCCCCCTGACACTAACTGCCATGTCAAACAAGGTTTGCTCACGACAGTCACCCCCGTTGGCATTCCAGAAGGACTAATTGGGCCACCAAGTGTTGTACCCCTCAAAGTCAATGGAACGCCCTGTGACGCCCTATTCGACAGTGGATCGCAGGTCACCATAATATTTGAGTCCTGGTATAAAGCCCATTTGTCTTCTGTCCCAGTGCAACCAGTGACTGGTCTCGACCTTTGGGGTTTAAGTGAGTCTAACGTAAGCTACCCATACCGTGGTTATGTTGTGGTCGATTTTGAGTACCCAGCCGAAGTAACAGGCAGCAACCACATTGTGACAGTTCTGGCCCTGATCTGCCCAAGCCCAAAAGAAGAACATGTTCCTGTCATTGTTGGAACTAACACAAGTCATGTCCGCAGTTTGGTGCAGCAATGCAAGAAAAATGGTGTTGACATAACCAAAACGTTGGGGATCAAGGCCAAAGGTCAATGGAGAAATGTGGTAACTGAAACCATGACCTCCAGTGAAGATGAAGTAGGCTGGGTGATATGGCAAGGCCCCAACCCCTTATCCCTACCTCCGGGAGAAGGTATGCAAATAAACTGTGAAGTCAACTTCAAACAGACAGTTGGTCAAGAGATCTTAATGGTTGACTCATCCCCTTTATCTCCACTGCCGGGTGATGTACTGCTGCAGCCCATGGTTGTGCCTGCCAATGCTGTTCAGACCAACAGTTTCCGAATCCTAGTGCAAAATCAATCTGGCAGAGAAACCAAAATACCAGTTGGCACAGTCATAGGACACATGTATCGCACTGAAAGTGTCATCTCTATGCCACCCCAACAGGCAAAAATGCATGAGTTGAGCAGCAATCAGATTGACTTTTGTGACTCACCCGTGCCTCAAGAGTGGAAAGACCGGCTTAGAAAGAAACTGGTTGAACGCTCTCAAGTCTTCTCGGTCGATGAGTGGGATGTTGGTCTGGCCAAAGATGTGGAACACACCATACGTCTATCTGACTCAAGACCTTTTCGTCAAAGATCACGCCGCCTGGCTCCAGCAGACATAGAGGATGTCAGAAAACATCTGCAAGAGTTGCTGTGTGCTGGTATCATCAAAGAGTCCCGTAGCCCTTATGCCTCACCGATTGTAATAGTTCGGAAGAAGAACGGAACAATCCGGATGTGCATAGACTACAGGCTTCTCAACAGCAGAACAGTGCCAGACCAATACACTACTCCCTGCATTGATGAAGCCCTCGATTCACTGTCGGGAAGCAAATGGTTTACTGTGCTCGATCTGCGCAGTGGGTACTATCAGATTCCCATGGCAGAGGAAGATAAAGAGAAGACAGCATTCATCTGCCCGCTCGGCTTCTTCCAATTCGAAAGAATGCCACAGGGAATAACTGGTGCCCCTGCAACTTTTCAAAGATTAATGGAGAGGACAGTCGGTGATATGAATCTCCTTCAGGTCTTGGTCTACTTAGACGACCTCATAGTCTTTGGAAAATCTTTGGAGGAACATGAAGAGCGACTGCTCAAAGTTTTGGATCGTCTCGCTGAAGTGGGGCTGAAGATCTCCTTGGATAAATGCCAGTTCTGCCAGCCAGAAGTGAAATACTTGGGGCATATCGTGTCTGCTCAAGGTGTCTCCCCTGATCCCCAGAAGATTGTAGGCTGTCACTTCCTGAACGCGGGAAACCAAAAGATCTAATAAGTCTCTCATCACGTTCGTTCACATTGGGCTTTTGATGAAACTACAATGACCTTTCTGAAACTATGCTGCAGTGTTTTAAACCCTAGTGACGAGTAAAAACCAAAGGTTTGGAAAGAGCCCCAACGCAAAAAACCGAAGTGAGTAAGTCTTAGTCTGAGGGAATAATCCAGTTATGGTATATTATTTTCAAACTGTAATAGGAAAAGATTTGCATGTTATTTTGAGTTTCCAGGTGATTAAAGATACAAAAACAATAAAAACAAATAAAATGCATTCTCCAAACAGTTGTAGTGCTGTTGTAGTCTGATTACAATTTTTCTCAGATGCTTTGGTGCATTTCTCACATCAGACTTAAAGTTCTTAATACTATTAGTTTAACCTCCACAACATTGGATCCTTTGTGCACATCATCGCAGCAGTTTCTTCTTCGAACAAATTACAAATTCTTTTGGACATGTTTCAGTTACTTTCATACAATTCTCTGCTGTTTTATAACATTATCATTTGCTTCTGTCATATCAGTCAAAATAGAACATATGACTTCTGAAGAGTCATTCCATATAAAAACAAATAGTCCTCATTTCATTGTGTTAGTTGTTACATACAAAATTTCTTAACTAGTTAATTTCATACATTCCTTTCTCTTTCTGGAAAAAAAATGCCAGAAACTCTCTCCTAAATTGAACAATTACTCTCAGGTGAATTTCATCTTCACTCATGAGGAGGTGTGTTTTATTGTTTACATTTGTCAAAGTTCTACCATAATGATAATTCTTGTATGTTTGTTCTATGGATATACATGTTTGTGACTGTATTTTTGTTGCACAGAGCAAGTGCAGTAAATATGTGAAATACATACAGTACATACATACATATACATGATTATCTTGTACTCACTTTCACTAAATCAGCTAAATACAGCCATGTGAGAGAAAACTGTCAACGTCAGGATACTGTAGTTTTTAATTTGGAGAATGATGTGTGAACAAACTGAGAAAAACAGAAGGCTGTACACAGTCGTGTCCATATAGTGCTTACACTGACACGTCAATGGTCACGTTGTGTGATGTAATGCTTATTGATGGGCAGCACTTGATGCAGTAGTTTTGCACTTGTGCTTCACAGCAAAAAAGTTTCCTCCGAGTGCTCCAGGTGTCTTGCTTCTGTCATAGATAATTGGAAAGTGCATTGTGTGATCTTTGTCTATGAAATGTTCTAATCTATATGAATAAAGATGACTTTCTTGCAGTATTGTTACAACAGGTGGATAGCACATGCACAGGGTCCCTGCACATGCAAAGAGAAGATAATGAAAGGGTCAGTGTCACTGAAACTCCTCTCCAGAGCAGAGAGTGTCCTGCAGGGGGTGACAGTCATGGTCCAGCATGGATGTTAGTTTGTCCAGGACCCTCCTGTCCCCCACCTGCTGCTCTGTGTCCAGGGAACAGCCCAGGACAGAGCTGGACTTCCTGATGACCTTGTCCAGCTTCAGCCTCTGATGCTGCTCTAGCAGACCACACGGTGTGGTCCACACTGAACAAGAAGAGGCCACCACAGTCATAGAAGGTCTTCAGGAGTGTCCCTGAATTCCAAAAGACCTGAGCCTCAACAACAGGTGACTCTGGCCCTTCTTGAAGAGGGCGTGCATGCAGTTGTGAAAGGTTTGAGTTAAAACTCACTCTTTCAATGTTGCTTCCCTGGATGTTATCAAAGTCAAGATGATCATGTTTAGCTGGTTTATGCTTTATGTGAAAGGGTATTTTATAAAGTAAAGTGTATATTTTCCACAAAATACTACTACGTTTCCAGCCTTTAAAACGATCATGCGTGTGTGAGGACTGGAGCTTGGAGCCACAACAAGTTTAAAGGCCTCTCTTCTTATTTGACAGCTGTGACAAACAGTTCAATACAGGTCATGTATCATTCATTTACCCTAACCCAAAGCTCGAGAACAATTCCCTGCACTTTGCTTATTGGACGGCCTCTCTGTTACTCCCACATACATAAAAAAGTATCAAAGTTCAAAGGGATCAGTCCAGAGAGGGGCTCAGCTCTGAACATGTCTGCAGCCCTGCTCTACACGCTGCTTGCTGCTTTACTGGCGTTGGTTTTACTCATTCGCAACAAATATCCCTATTTTTGGCACGATGTTAGATACTGCTTCATTGTGATCGGGATAGCTGTGCGGACGGGCAAATTCCAGAAGCAGAAGCCCTACTTCACCATCCTGGACAGATTTTTGGAGCAAGCAAAGAAACAACCGCACAAAACTTTCATTATTTTTGAAGGGCGTGAGTACAGCTACAGTTACGCGGATACTCAGAGTAACAGAGTAGCCCATGCTCTGCAGACTCACACGGATCTGAAGGAGGGGGACACGGCGGCCTTGTTCGTGGGGAATCAGCCTGAGTTTGTGTGGCTGTTTTTGGCTTTGTCCAAACTGGGCTGCACCGCGGCGCTGCTGAACACCAACATCAGGTCCAAGTCCCTGCTGCACTGCTTCTCCTGCTGCGACGCCAAAGTGCTGCTGGCCGGAGGAGGTACGTGCGTGTGTGTGTGTGTGCGCTGTAGCTGTGGTCCCCAACCTTTGGAGGCATCTGTTATTTAAAACAATCATAATGGCACATCACCAGCTGATGCAAATGCAGATGACCAATGTCCATAAATGTTGATAAAAGTTGTGTCCTGGACAGTGTTGGGTACGTTACATTGAAAAAGTAATTAGTTATAGTTACTAGTTACTTCTCCCAAAAAGTTAAGAGTTACTGAGTTACTTCACTATAAAAGCAACTGAGTTACTAACTGAGTTACTCCACTATAAAAGTAACTAGTTACCAGTAAAAGTAACTATTGCATTACTTTTTCGTTTCGTTCTGGAACATAATGTGCACTCGACGTGCACATTTTTACCTTTAACCTCAGTGAGTTTGAAATAGTGGTGATATTTCCATCTGGAAAAGGCTGTTTTGCTGCTGAAGTCCTCCGCACTCTTCATCTCTCTCTGTGTGCTTTAAACACCAACACCCACCAAGTTGAGGTTGTTTTGTAAGGTGTTGGTACTGCGCTGTCGGGGGCGGCGGCTTTGATGAGATTCTCTTTTGCGACTAGCTTAATAGTTGAATGTTTACACTGCAAGTGTTTTAAAAGGTTCGAGGATGAGTTGGCTGCGGTGGACAATCGCTTGCTGCCCGCACAAAGCTTGCACTCCACGACATCGTTTTTATCTTTTTGACTGATATAGTTAAATAGTGTGCATATCTCCACCGGTAAAACGAATTCCTCTCCTCTGGCTCTGCCATGCTGCTTTACAAACAATCTCGCTGATGTGCCGGCACGCACGCCTCGGTAGTGGAGTTTTCCCCTGCTTTCCCGAGGCCGGTGCCGCCGGTAACAAAGTATTTAGATAGTAACTGTAATATAATTAAACGTATTTTCATAATAACGCGTTACACTACTACGTTACTCAAATTGTAATTTTGTTACAATAACACCCAACACTGGTCCTGGATCATCACCACTGTCCTTAGAACTTCCTGCATTGGCAAGGATAACCCTCAGGGAGGCCCACATTTCCTAACTATCTTGACCAATCAGGTAATATTGGATTTGTCACGTGGCAAAATGAAATACCCAAAATTTGCAACTGCTAAAATAAGCACATACAAAAGCACAATCCAAGTAAAAATAAATAAAAGTAACTGAACAGGGCACAAAAACACATAAGGGCAGGGCAGGACATCACACAACAGGAAGAAGAACAGAGGAAGACACAGGGGGTAAAAATTACAAAACAAAACAGGAAATAAACTTATCCATGACAGGGTCATTTAAAAAAGCACACAACAGCAGAAGAAAAGTGGAAGTGGAAGAAAATTGATGGTTGAATGAAACATTATACAATAATAACCCTGGTATTGACATTAGTATGAAGTCTCGAGCGTAAAAGTGGTAGTTGTTCTGACAGTTTTGTTTGTTGTTTCTGCTGGATGAGGGAGATCCTAGCATTACACCTTCCAGCTCCTTCAATATAAAATGAGTGTGGAGGATTGTAGCTCACCACCACAGTGTGCGAAGCGGAGCATATGCCGTTAAACATCTTGGAGTGTCAAAAAAACGCTATGTAAAATGGGTGCATTATTATTATTATTACAGCAATGCCAGTTTTATGAATTATGTTTAATACCAAATATGTATACAAATACCTGATGCAGATCCTGACAAAGATTTTAGCCAAATAAATAATTCTATGAAAACAAATAAAACTTGTCTTGCATTAACTTTTTATTGCTCTTTTGCCCCAGTGGAATAATGCCACACTGTGAAAGTTTGCTATTGGGACAAGTCCACCTTGTTGTGTAGCTACAAATTCACTCATTTCACTTAAGCTGTGCCAAATGTGTAGTACCTGCAAACCTATAAACAAGAAAATCGTGGCAAAGACTGAGTGAGCCTTTGGAAGGTTGTCAAAGGAAGAACCTGGAAACAAGACATGTCATCTTTTTCATTTTTATCAAAATACGCATAACTCATGTCTTACTATAAAGCTGTGTTCCCACCGATGCATGGACGTGCGTTGATGGAGGCATGGACGGAACTTCAGTAAATGTAAGCTGCATGAGTTTAGGCAATCTGACGTACTGCCCTGGGGAAAAACGACCCCAATCATCCCAAATTCAATAGATTTTGTTGAGGGTGAGTCTAGAACCCCAAAGCAAAACTGCTGGCTAAAGCCGTTTGAACTCACTTTAATAAACAAAAATACTCAAAAACAGTGACGCAGTGTGGACAGGGAGACTTCCGGAGAGGAGAGTGGACGGAAAAAAAACAAAGCAGAGAACTGGACGAGGCACAGAATGGATATGACCAGAGTGAATGCTGTAGAGTGGAGTTGATTGAACACAGGTGTGGCTCGTCAGCAGCCCAGCAGAGACTGGCCACGCCCCCTGTGGGAAACACAGGAAGAGAGGTGGAGAACAAAACACAAACAGAACCATAACAGATTTTGGCTTATCTTTAAAGAGCGACTAAACACCTGTGCCCAGCCTTACTCCGCCCACATGAAGATTTGAAAATTTTCTCTAAAAAGGGCGTTGCCTGGAGGACCAAGGGACAAGAAGGGGGGCTTAGAGTTGGGCGTGGTCTGGGCTGTGATTGACAGCTCACTTGTCACACAAAAAAAAAACAGACAGTTGTCATTGCTGCTTAAAGCAATAGTTTACAGACCAGAAAGTCTCATTCCACCCTTGTTTACTAAGATAATTGTAAAGCTACACACCTGAACCTAATCACACTCAATAATCTCAGAATGACTCATGTAATTTAATTTTAATCCACTAGATGGCGCCAGAATACTCCAAACTGCAGCTGGGGCGTGTGTGAGAGTTGAATGGGTTCATATCACTGGCTCTGACAGACTGACGTCACACAAAACAACTGATGTCATAGAGAACTTCAGAGTCAATGGAGAGGCCAGGACCAAATTCAAATGTAGTACCACCAAAAAGGTTGAGAGGGCACCACACAGCGTTTTTTGGCTCAAAAGTGATATTTTATCTAATTTGAACTAAAATGTCAAAAGAATGACCAGGATATGTAGACAGCACTACAATAAACATACTTATGCAGTGTATGAGTTAAAAAAAGTTGATTTGGTGTTTAGTTGCTCTTTAAATTGATTTTGTGCTTAACACTGACTCCCAGAAATGTGCTACTAACTCTCAGAACTGTCTTTTTTCTTCTCCCATTCAAATGCTGCCACCAGTTTACTCTTGACAGTAAACAGTGTGTTGCTATGGCAATCAGCACCCGGTCTTCTCTGGTGGAAAACCAAGCTGAACCAGAACCAGTCCAGGACCTTGAAAAAAAGAGTTTGACTGCCACAGAAAGACAGTGACCGAAAATGGCTACATTTGTATTCCGTCCTTCCATCTCTTTTCATCCCCTTTATCCATTGCCGTCATGGGGGCAGCTGTCTAAGAAGAGATGCTCAGACTTCCCTATCCACACACACTTCCTGCAACCGATCTGGCAGTATCTTGAGGCATTCCCAGGCCAGCATGCCTGAGCAACATCAACTGGCTCCTATCTACATGCAGAAGCAGCGTCTCTACTTCGAGCTCCTCTTGTGTGGCTGAGCCCCTTTACCTTTAAATTATCGTTAGCTAAAGATCGTTCTCATGTTTCAAAAATAAAAGATAATTTCATGACATTTGTGGCCATTCCTTCTTGTGAAATCCCATCAGACCTCTGAAGCTAAGCAGGGCAGGGCTTAGTTTGTACTGTGATGGGAGACAGCTGTGGCTGTAAAGTGCCATCCTGTTGTTGTGTCCATAGGCAAGACACTTCACCCACATTGCCTAGAAAGAGTCTGGTGTGTGTGTGTGAATGGTTGGTGGTGGTCAGAGGGGCCAATTGCACATACTGGTTGCCTCGCTTCTGTCAGTGTTTCCCAGGGCAGCTGTGGCTACAGTAGTAGTTTATCACCACCGTGTTTGGAGTGAAAGAATAATGACATGTGAAGCGTCTTTGAGTGTCCAAAAAGCGCTATATAAAACCAATGCATTATTATAATAAAAATGTATAAATAAGTAAACAACATATAGAGACAGAAAACACACAAAGTTAAGAACACATAGGACTTCCAGAACTAAGCACGTCGAATTGACTGCTCTGGGAGTTTTAATGATTTGATTGTGATTTGATTGTGATTTGATTGTGATTAATCGTGCGGCCCCAATATAAAAGCAGTTTTTGAAACTTGCTTTGGTCAGATCTGTATGGGGCCGTGGAGGAGGTGCTTCCTGGTTTGACGGAGGGAGGAGTGCGTGTGTTCGTATTGGGACAGGACACCGGAGTGAACGGCATTGAGACTCTCTCTGATAAGATCCAAGAGGCTTCAGATGAGCCGCTCCCTCTCCAGCTCCGGGCCAACGTCACTGGCAGCAGCCCGGCGCTCTACATCTACACATCCGGAACCACAGGTAAGACTCTGACGGAGAGTGGGTGAGGGTGTGTCTTTCTTTTGGTCTCAACAACCATTGCTCAGGAGCTTTGGCTGGATCTTGCCTCATAAAATGATCTCTTTCCTCAAACATGATAAATAAAATAGGTTTAAATAAATAAATAGGTTATTTGATGTGTGGAGAGGGTTTTAACTAAAGTATAAGCCAATTAAACAACTCAACTTATATCACACATGTCCCATAGAACTAAACCAGAGAATTTCATTGTTTTTTTTACTTTGCACCCGCAGCTCAGCACCTGTATTGATACATTGGTTCTATGTTTGCATAAAATGCAGCCTCAAACCCCTGTAACCTGTCCGTGCTTTCCCAGGTCTCCCCAAAGCCGCCGCTGTGTCTCACATGAGGATATGGTTCGCCTCGTTTGTTCAGAGTTTTGCCGGAGTGAATTCAAATGACGTCTTCTACCTGTACCTCCCGCTGTACCACACGGCCGGCTTCCTCATGGGACTCACAGGAGGAATAGACAGAGGTACTACACGACAACTACTATTTTTACCAAGCCATTTTTCCTCCTATCAGTGGCATTTATAAAACCTTTTGTTGAACTTACAAACAAAACAAGAACTTAATCTCTATTGCTCCCCTTTCATTTCATTTTTCTTAAAACGAAACATATTTTTCTTTATCTCTGAATGCTGCAATACACAAAAGTCTTACATTTTTTGGTCCAAATTGCTCAATCATAGGTCAAGCAGTTTTTTTCTCATAGATTGCAAACTTGACATGGAAAGTGGCAAGACAATGCAAGTTTATCTGGGGACACATATAAAAGTTGAACATGTAATTTAAATGAAAATATTGAATTCCGCCCCTTTAAATACTATACATACAAACTGTGTACTCCAGTACACAGTTTTACCAGAGTTGAATCCTCTTGAATCAAATCTGGGGGGTTTGGTGATCATCAAAATCCTCTCATTACTGTTTAATACTGTTTGCTATTTAATTACCTACAAAATAAAAATCAATATTTGTCCATTTGGGTATTCTTCCTCCTGCTTTCCTCCTGTTCACATTTACTTGTTTGTCTTCTTTACTATGGACCACACCTTTCCACAGATCTCACCTATGATCTGGCTGCTTTTCATTCATACGAGTTGAAGAGAATAGATTATAGATTAGAAATGAATTGTTTTATGGCCTGAAAATCCCCACTGTCTTTCTACATGTCTGACTGGTGACTGGCGTTCTGTTTTCTATGCTGTATTTGGTGGCAGGTCTGACGGTGGTTTTGAAGCGTAAGTTTTCGACCTCTCAGTTCTGGGACGACTGCAGAAAACATGAAGTGACCGTGATCCAGTACATTGGAGAGATCATGCGCTACCTCTGCAACGCGCCAAAGGTAAGAAGTCAAAGTGTCGACCTGATTATAGTGTTGTCAAACTTTGATTTGTGCATATTTCCAATTATTTTGTTACTGGAGAGTCATACAGAGCCGTATCACAGCCACGCCCACACAAAAAAATCGCAATCAACATGTTACTTTTTGTACTTGGATTTTTTATGCAATGATCCGTGGAAACAGATTTGTATTTTATGTGATTTAAAAAGTAAATAATAACACAGACATTATGAAGACTTAAGTTCTACTGAGCTACTGTTGCCCCTTGCGTCCACTTCTTCCATTTCTTTCTTTCTTTCTTTTCCTCAGAAAGACAACGAGAAGAATCACAAAGTCCGCATCGCCGTGGGCAACGGGGTCAGACTGGACACGTGGGAGGAGTTTCTGCAGAGGTTCGGCAACATCCGCGTCTGCGAGTGCTACGGCTCCACGGAGGGAAACATCGGCTTCATCAACTACATTGGGAAAGTCGGGGCCATCGGCAAAGAGCACTTTCTTCATAAAGTGAGGCATACGTCGATTCAATTTAGCCTGGTCGTACCACACCATAGTACAAATGACATTTCGTACTAAGGTCTGGAGGTGCTCCATTGAGCTCCGTTTACAGATAGGAGGGGTTCTTTTGCAGATTGAAACGATTGGATCTGAGTATGTTGGAGCCCGTGGGGAGTAGCGCCACAATCTTTGCCAGCGATTACATTTGCTAAACATTCCTCGTGCTCCGGCTTCAATTTCTTAATAGAACCAGACCAGATTACTTTACTATCGCATTTTTTGCCATTGCCAAACTACAACCTGCCTGTTCGACGCAAACTCATGACATCACCCACAACTAACTACAACACCCGCCTTCCGCGCTCGCTGATTGGTCGGTCGAAATTCAACCGATTGTAATCGCTAACATAGGGACTAGACCCAGACGTTACATGCAGTGAAATTAAGTGTATTTGTGTAAAGCCCTAAAAGACTAGGTCACTCAACAGTGTATATACAGCAGTGTTCCCCAACCTTTTTGAGCTGTGACACACCTTTTCCATTGAAAACTATCACGTGGCACGTAGCACCAGCTGAAACTTATGCAAACAAGACATTCGCCAAACTTTATCAAGTCATTCTCATCAAGTACATTATATAAAATTCAAACAAGCCCAAAAAAGTCTTTCTAATCTTCTCACATTCTTTTCTTTTCACTTTAACTTGACCTAATAGGACAATTTCCAAAGGCACAGCATACAACATCTCAATGCACATTAATGTTCCATGGCACACTGGTTATAAAACACTAGTATGCAGTATATACAGTACATGCCAAATTAACTCAAGAACAACAAACACTTGGAGACTACTGGAACTTCCAGAGCCATTCTGGTCAAATTGATTCTGAAAAATTTTCCAATTGCAAAATCCATGATTATTTATTTGATTCACTGTGATGTATTTGTTTCACTTTCACAGTTGGGGTATCCATACGCTCTGATCAGATACGACACAGAAAAAGAGGAACCGGTCAAAGACTCTAGAGGTTTCTGCATTGAGGTTCCCCGAGGTGAGCGACTAGACATTATTGATTTACAGTATTTGATCATATTTGACCACGAAGATTTTACTGATCTTTCCACCAACTGAACTGCAACCATGTATCAGTCTACTTATTTAATGATAAAACAGGCTTCGGATTAAAGTCTACTGACTCATTTTTATTCTCATCCTGGCTGCTGTGATATGTCTGAACTTGAGAGAATAAAGTCATTAGTTCATTAATTAATTTTCTACCCCTTTATTAATTAATTTCTTGGTCAGGAGCATGGCAATCAGATGCTCATAGCACCAATCCTCCTGGCTGCTGCTTTGTCAGCAATGACACAGCCGTGGTGTATCAGCGGGGGCTTCGGGCAAAGTGGGGTTAAGTGTCTTACCCGGCGACAAAACGACAGAGGACATCAGTGGCAGTAGTTGGAGTAGGTCTCATGGGGGGATTGAACCCATGACCTTCAGGCCCAAATGCCAATGCTCTACCAACTCAGCCACTTTTGCCCAGTTAATAAAATAAATATAATATTGATCCATCCATTTTTCTTTACTTTCTTTGGAGATGTGTCACATACTGTTCAGCTAGTCCCCTGTCCCCAACCCCCAACCCCAAATACAATATTATTGCATCGCAGTGTCATCCAGCCAACTTCAGCTCATTCACTACAGACATACCAGAGGTTCTGAGCTTGTCGTGAAAGCTCAGAACCTCTGATTTTCAGCCGTTGACTTGTATGTGTCACAACATCATGTTAATGGCGCTTTTAGTGAGATGACAGTTCATCATTTTGCCAAACTTGTTTTCTAATTATCAAGCTCAGAACAGCTCAAATCATTCAAAACACTTTTACAATCCAGGTCGTCGGCCCCTGGAACCTGATTACTAAAGTGACCCTTGTACTAAAAAGTTTGGACACCTCTGTTATTGTAACACCCGTCCTCTGGCTTTAGGAGAGACCGGTTTGCTCATTGGGAAGATCAGTGAGAGATCGCCGTTCCAGGGATACGTGAAAAATAGGCAACAAACGGAGAAGAAAGTCCTCCAAGATGTTTTTGTGAAAGGAGACTGTTTCTTCAACTCTGGAGATCTGCTGAGGATCGACGAGCACGGATTCGTTTACTTCCAAGACCGGATTGGAGACACGTTCAGGTGAGATGGGATCATACACTAGGCCACCATTTTGACATAATATCTAAGTACGTTTTTTTCTGACTAATATTAAGTTGTTTTTTTTGAAGGTTTTAAAAGTGAGCATGGATAAATGAATTCATCAATTTATATCCACAATTTCTTATTCACTTTTAAGGTGGAAGGGAGAAAATGTAGCAACGACTGAGGTGGCGGATCATTTACTCACAGTGGATTGTATCGAAGAGGCCAATGTCTTCGGAGTCAAGGTCCCAGGTAACAACAGGATCAGCTTTGAGTGTTTAACATACTGTTTTGTTTTGGAAATGTTATGGACTTACGCAGGGCTTTTCATCTTGATTACTTGTTTATGTCATTATAACAAAGATTTGACTTGTAATTTTTAAACATAAATGTGTTGTGTACTTTTCCTTCCGAAATAGAAAGGTTTAAGGACAGGGCAGTTTGGGAAGGGAATTTATTTACTAATTCCCAAATAAAGGCAAGGCACTTTGGAGGCCTAATATATATATATATATATATACATATATACATAGGGGCGACAGTAGCTCAGTTGGTAGAGCATTGGCCTTAAGGCCAGAAGATCGTGGGTTCAATTCCCACCTCTGCACCTTCTCCACCGACTCCCACTGATGACTGCTGTCGTTGTGTCCTTGGGCAAGACACTTAACCCCACTTTGCCCAAAGCCCCCGCTGAAAAGATCAAGGCTATGCTCACACTCAGAGCAGCCGTCCTCCTGTGGACTCACCACCTGCAGAGGGTCAGTGAGGGGCTGGTGCTATGAGACTTGGGTGGCATCTCTGATTGCCACCCCCCTGACCCAGAAATGGATTAAAGGGTAGAAAATGGATGGATGGATGGATGGATGGATATATATACATATACAAGACATTAAAATCATAAATAATCACAGTACATTCAAAAAGAGTGAAAATCCTACAGTTGTATGGACAGCTACAAGGAAAACTCAGGAAGACTGTTCCAGATTTTAGCTGCACACATCTGAAATGCAAGTTTTGTCTTGACTCTGGGCACCAGTAGGAGGCCAGCTCCTGAGAAACCCCTTCTGATTGCATTGTTTGATTTTTATAATTAGCTATATTTGTAAATCAAAGTCCACATTTTTTTTCCAGTTTTGAACTAATGGCCTTGACCCAAATTATATACAGTATATCAGCAATTTTCAACCTTTTTACTGCCACAGACCTGTTCTACTGCCGGACAATAATAGCATGGGCCGGCAACTAAACTCTGAATTATCATTAACCGTTAATTGCCAAAAATCTTATATTTCCCTATTATCCTGTTTTTTTAGTAAATTAGGGTGTGTATAATAACGTTCAACAAATTTACGCGTCCGGTAATAACCCGTCCTTGGCTGGCAGGACACGAGGGCCGTATTGGGATGGCGGCGCTGAAGCTCAGAGACAACATGGACTTTGACAGCGGAGCGACGCACAGACAGATGAAGAGCGGACTTCCCAGCTACGCACGACCTCGCTTTATTCGCTTACAGGTAACTATCAGTCAGCACAAGTAACTATCAGTCAACTTTATCTGCTTTGTTTGTTTTTTCACTGTTGCCTTTACACAGAAGTGGTAAATGACTGCATTTCCTTCAATGGGGCGGGAAACGTTGAAAGTAGTTTGACATGTAATATGTTGATTTCCATCTGCTTCTAACGCTAATGCTTATAGTAATAATTTTAAAACTTCTTTAAAACATCTTTTTTATTTAGTGTTTTTTTGGACACTCAATGATGCTTCACTCCATACACAATGGTGATAAACTACTACAGTAGCCATGGCTGCCCTGGGGCACAATGATTGAAGTGAGGCTACTAGTGACATCGGCCCCTCCAACCATCACCAACCATTCACGCACACACCAGACTCATTCTAAGCAATGTGTGTGAAGTGTCTTGCCTAAAGACACACTGATAGTTTTAAAGCCTCCCATCACAGTACTAACCAGGCCCTGCTCTGCTTAGATTTAGAGGTCTGCTGGGATCGGGCTTTTATCAGCAGGTGGCGCCACATTGTTTTAATACCTGTCACGAAAAAGTATGAAATGCAGTATGAAATCTTATTCTGTGGCGATAATTTACGTATAGTCTTAAACTGATCTGTAAGAAGGGTTCAAACTATGGTTTTAACGTCTATTTCCATGGAATACTGCAGAACCGGGTAGGAAAGTAGTGTTGCTTTAACACTGAATTTACAATGCGGTGTCCCCCAACGGCCAATTCTTGTTCCAACCACCTACCATCTCTCTTTGGGTGCGTTCAGGAAACATGGCATCAGTATCACATTTGTCCACCCGGACACGAGTAAGGTAAAGGCAAAGATGCACTTTATTAATCCTCGTAGGGCAATTCATCCTCTGCATTTTATCCATCCTGATGCCACTAAGGCCCCGTTTAGACGGAGACACTGCGCAGACTCTGCAAAGCAATTAACAAAATTTACCAGGCTCCTGCGCAGCGTTCAGGAAACGCCTGAAAACAATGTAGTTTGAGTGCCCGGCCAGTAGTGGGCAGTGAAACAGTGGAACCCCCAGCAGTATATTCACTTCCTCAACAACATCCTCCCATGGATCTATTAGGTTCCGGCCTGGATTTTGTACCCAGGAAGCAAGAGTGCTATCCAGTCAGCCACGTGCCGCCCAAGGGGGTAAAACTGAAATAGTCCTAAATGCGCCCTGGACCTGGGCACCCTCAGGGAAAATGTTTCCTTCTGCCAACAACCTTGACATCACCGTGGACATGGATTGTATACAAAAAAAACAGCCCAGTTGTAAAATCGTTCACGCAAAACTATGGGCAGCCTTTTTGGAATCTCCATAGTTGTCAAGGTGTATGAGTTAAACGTTTAGCAACACTATAGCCTGTCTGTAAAGCCTATAATTGTATAAATGATTATATGATGTAATTTACACTAAATTAAAATCATTGCTATGGTTGTTTTTTCTCAGGCTGCGATGGACGTGACTGGGACGTACAAACAGACTAAAGGGAAGCTGGCGCAGGAAGGTTTTGACCCAGCGATCGTCAAAGACCCTCTGTTCTTCCTGGACGACTCGAAAGGCTACATCCCCCTGACACCAGACATTTATGACTCCATATACAACGGCAGACTTCGACTGTGAAGCACAAGAAACCAAAGTTTGACACTTATACGAACGTTCCTCTGCGGAGTGAAGTTTCCCCTGGCCATGGAGGTGTTATTGCTTTAGCTGGGAGGTTTCAAAGTCGGGGGATAAGCTGCAGTCCAGTCGCCCCTAGAAATTGGTGCAAGTGTGTGTGTCAATCGAATATATTTTATCTGAGAAGCGACAAAATTATACAAAATACACTGTTTTAATTACATTTATTGCAAGTCTTTTTATATTGTTTGAGATTGATTTTTATGTGATTGTAAATGTGTAGGTTCACAAACAGTAGAGAGAAACCTAAGAAAAAATTACATGCAATCAATATAGGATAATAAATGTGACCGATTGTCAAGGCCAGAGCTTGTCTTATCTTTTTTCACGTGCGTTATTACTCTTGGACTGAGACCAGAGGGACAGAAGAAAAGCACTTAACACATGAGCAGAGCAGTCAATCTGCTCTGATCCAGGTTCTGGATCAGAGCAGAGTCAGCTTGATTCAAGAAGTGACCATAGTTAACATAATGACACAGCAGTTATTGGCAGTTTTGTTGTGTTTGTCAGTTTTTGCACAACAAAAATGAGTAAAGGTAAATAATAAATACCTAATAAATTACATACTTTTATAAATATTGTAGAAAATGTATAATTTTTTGGGAGATTTTCTCAAAATTCCATTGGTTGGAATGGGAGCAGTCAAAAAAGACTGCTCATTCTAGTAGCTCCAGAAGTAGGCCAAAATATTTTAACAATACACAATAAACAAACTATAAATGATATGAAATGGAAAAAGAAGTGTTTGATCGTTGTCAAGATTTTATTGTGCATTATATTTTATTTGATAACATTTTAGTCAGTTTCCCATTTATACATTGATTCTCTTCACTCCCCAGCACCCTAAACCAGGACTTTATTCAATAATAATAATAATAATAACTTTATTTATAGAGCACTTTAAAAACAACACAGTTGACCAAAGTGCTGAACACAGGTAAAAACACAATATAATATAGAAACATATACAAGAATACAAATTGCGCAGAGAGTCAACCCACTGAGTTAAAAGCCAAAGTAAAAAGATGAGTCTTAAGAAGCGACTTAAAAACAGGAAGTGAGTCCGCCAGTCTAATATGCAGAGGCAGACCATTCAACAGTCTGGGGGCTGCTGCTGCAAAAGCCCGATCCCCTCTCGACTTCTTTCTGGTCTAAGGGACCACTAAGAGAGCCTGGTCTGCTGATCTTAGAGGCCGTGATGGAGTGTGGGGCACAAGTAGATCAGTTAGATACTGAGGGGCCAAACCACGCAAACATTTGAACACAAATAACAGAATCTTAAAATCAATATGAAGGTGCACAGGGAGCCAGTGAAGAGAACAAAGAGTAGGGGTGATGTGGTCAAATTTGCGCGTTCCAGTTAAGAGTCTGGCAGCAGGATTTTGTATCAATTGAAGGCGTGAAAGTGAGGTTTTACTGAGTCCGGTATAGAGGGAATCGCAGTAATCTAAACGAGAAGTAATAAAAGCATGGATTAAAATTTCAAAGTTATGACGAGATAAAAACGATTTGACTTTGGCAAGTCGCCTCAGTTGAAAAAAGCTGGTCTTCACAACAACACTGATTTGGGAATCCAGTTTTAAAGAGGAGTCCATTTTTACTCCAAGCTCAGCAGGAACAGCTGCTGCAGTGTCCGTGGATGAGAAAATGATGACCTCTGTCTTCTTGTTATTAAAATGCAAAAAATTAAAAGCCATCCATGTTTTGACCTCATCCAAACATACAATCAATGACTTGGACTGAGTCAGTGGCACGTACAATTGACAGTCATCCGCATAAAAAGTCTTTTATGTTTTCGAAGAATCTCTCCAAGAGGCAACAAATACAATGAAAAGAGTAGAAGTCCAAGCACTGACCCCTGGGGAACCCCGCACGTAAGTGAAGCCATGGAGGACTCAGTATCACCAACCCGGACGGAAAAGCTCCTGTCAGTCAAATAAGACCTGAACCAGGACAGGGCTACACCTCTGATCCCAACATAATTTTCCAAGCGGGACATTATAATTGTAATAACCTTGCCTGCAAGCTGAATTCTCGCGGTATTTGTGAGTTCACAAACACTGATATCGCGGAGAACGCGTTAGAGTTCTACACAATCATCAATCTGGCTCTTGCCAGGTTATAATTGTAATGTCCCGCTTGGAAATAATAATTATAAAATAATTATAAAACCAAAATTCAACAAATGAAGTAACAGAATTAAAATAAATAAGAAAATAAATGTACATAACAGATAACAGGACCAACATGTGTTTAAAATCCAACAAAACAAACAAAACAAACAACAAAACCCCAACAACAGCAAATGTTTGGACATTTAGGAAAACGTACATAGTGTTCAGCTGAAGGCTAACCACTACACTGCTGTACAACTCATGACATGCCCTCTCGTGGGGACTTCAACACTAGGACTCCCAGAATTATTTAACTACTGGATTTCCAAAAGCAGTCTTTTTGACAGCTCCCATTAAAACTAGTGGAATTTTGAGAAATTCTCCCAAAGTGCTATTATAAGTAAGTATAAGTACAACAAAACTGCCACCAACTGTGTTGTTTTGGTAAGTCACTTCTCCAGAACAGCCCAGAACCAGTCCAGACTCCAGGACCAGTCCAATACTAGTCCAGGACCAGTCCAGGACCAGTCCAGGATCTGTCCAGAACCAGCAAAAAAGGGCTTTAACTGCCACAGAAAGATGGTAACTAAACAACTATACAAATCTACAACTACAAATCTAAACATTTGTAAAATATGTGGTGTGTTGTCCTTTCGACAATTTAAATACATAAATACAATGACTGCTCTGGAAGTTCTAGTGTAAAAGGACCTCTATTTGATTTTTTGCGGGGAAGTAGTATCTAAAAAAAAAAGTTACCCCCAATCATTTTAAACACATCATTATTCAGCTGCATTAAGCATAGAAGGTTTTTATCACAACTTTCCTAGCAAGGACATGACCTAAGGACATTCCTAGCAATAATTAGCTCGAGATTTCCACTTTTCACAAAAAAATGCACTGTAAAAGTGAATTCAAGTGTACCATTTATAACATCAAGAGCTGCTTTGACATGAGATACAAGTAATTTGCTACATGAAAAGAAAAATGCTAATAATAACAAAACTGGCCGTGTTGTGTTTACTGAGCCTTCAGCAGTTCAGCCATGTTGGGTTTACTGGCCCTTGAGCAGTGCCGTGGTGGTGCCGTTCTCTTGAGGAGCCTGAGTTGGTGCGTTGTTGTTTGCGGACACACCGTTGATCCTCTGACACGATGAGGTCAGGTGCAGCTGATGATCCTGCTTCACTTTCAGAACGCAGCAGAATGGTTGACGGCCGCACTGCACCCACGGGTTACAAAAACTGGGAACGCTGTTTTGCTTGGTCAGCTTCTTCAGCTCTTTTCCCAATAGATTTTTTTCCTTTCTTGGTGATTCTGTGATTGTATACATCGGAGCTGAGGAAGTGGCTGGGATTGGAGGTGGGAGGGTAGTATCGGAGTCTTTGCATTGAGGTTTAATCAGATTATTGAAGATATAAGGAAGGGGCTCGCTGCTGCAGCTAAGGGAGCGCGTTGGCCTGGCTGTCTTGGTCCAGGCTTTGTCGATCCACAACTCAACATGAGAGCCTTTTAAAGAAATAGGCACATCTTCTGGTTGGTTTTCACTCTTGATAATTGCATTCTCCTCCTCCGCACCATCTCTTGATTTAAACTGAGCTTCAGACAGTAGAGCGGTGGCCATTTTGGAGATAATGCCCCAGTCACGGAGAATGTCGTCTGCTGTGGTGAACTGGGAGGTCACGGTGAATCGAATGATGATTTTTGAGCGTAATTCGGCTGGAACCAGGTACATGGTGCCAGAACGGGTGAGGCGACTCAAAAGCTCCTTTGTCGCATCGTTTCCCCTCTAATAAAAGACAAAAAATAGTAATAATGTTAATAATATATTTTCTTTAAAAGATATATTCTGATGTTTCAACTTTTTCTCTTTTCATCATTTTACAACATTGTTCCCTCATCAGTCACAGACCTCGAGTTGATTTTAGATCAATCCGCTCTAATATCAGGAACTTTAGGCACAAGTAACACCGCCCCTTCATGTGATCCTGGAAACTTGGAAGTTCCAATTTCCCACTTGGAAAAAATGTAATTGAACGCTGCTCAAAAATTTAACTCGGAAACTCAGCATAAAACTCAGCATAAAACTCCTGTAACACTATAGTAACAAATTCTATCCCTCCCTCTGGTGGCAGCTTAGAGAGTTACTGGTGGAAAGGGTTCCCCCTTCACACTTGTTTCACCATAAATGTTCTACTTTTATTCCAAGATTATTCAAAACAAGCGCAAACAAACCAGTTTTTGGCTGAGCCCCCTGGCTATAGATACAAAATATTATTACACATTCTAAAATATGAAATGACAAAGTGAATAGTGTCATTAGGATTTTTAAAGGATAGAAGGAATGCATTATATATACACTGTACGCAAAGTGTATTTGATTCAAAAAGGTTCATTTTTTCTTCAGTTAAAATGCTTTTTTAGTTCTTTTGAAAGACAAGTTTAGATGTATTACCTTCTAAATGTATTACCTTCGCTCAGACTGTGGTGACCACCGGGCGAGAGGGGGCGTGGTCAGTCTGAGCGGCCCTATATTTCTGATGGAAACACCTGGATCAGTGGGGAACTGGTGCTTTGAGACTTGTGTGGCAGCTGTGATTGCCAACCCCCCGACCCGGAAATTAAATAATAATGGGGAAGAAAATGACACGACTTTGTGTCTCTCAGTTTACATTTCCTCAAGCTTAGCTAATGTCCAAAAACAAGCAGAAATGTTAGTATTTCTTAAATTGTAGTAACACTGAAAAAGATTATACTCTACATTTACAGACATCAAGGAGCAACGATGTTCTGATTTTACAATGACACCAGTTTTATATGATGCAAAGGTCTTAAACAAGTTACGATCAAAGAATATTAAGCAATTTACCTGAGAGTTCATCGACCGTACTGTGGTTCTAAGGAAAAGTATTTATACCCCTTGATCAAACTGCTATCCAAATTCGGACTTCCCATGCCTGATTTTAAAGCTCCAGAGATGAAGGGAGCTGTGGATTTCTCTGTACCAAAAGTAGCAGGAGACATAAAACTTCCAGATATCAACATTAACGACCCTGATATTGAAGCCGATTTTAACCTTTTTTGCGGTATTCAAATATACTTTATATCAGTCTCCCACATCTGGAGTCTTCAGTCTTTACAAATGAATTATGAATTTCAGATCAATGTTCACTCGGGGATATTATATTGGCTTGATAACACCAACCTATTCCTGCTACTGTTACAAAAATACAGCTGATTTTTGTCATGTCTGGTTAAGTTGTATTCTGTGATGTAAAGCTGTTTTATTTTGAAATTTGTTTCTCGTTAGACTTCCTTCCTGCTCTTCCCGATTTTCCCCCCCTATGTGATTACCTGCCTCGCCCCTGATGTGTGACACCTATGTCCTTGCCCTCCCCTCTGTGTATATAAGCCTGTATCTTCCCCATTGTCTCTGTCAGATTGTCTTTGTCCATGTGCAGGTAATCATATCAGTTTGTTCTTGTATGTTTTTCAGTTTTGACTGACTTTCTTTTTGTTCTTTGTCCATGTGCAGACTCTGTGGGAATTTTATGTTAACAATCCTGATTTCTGACCACAAAAATAAAAGAAACTGAGCAACGCAGTTGGGTCTCCTGTGCTGAGTCTGATAGATTTTAATGTCTTTGGTGAACAGTGAAGAGATCCCTCCATGCAGGCATGTGTGTTTTTTTTCTTAACTGGTTTTACAGTTCTGATTTAGCCACATCCATAAACTAATTCAGATCATTTTATTCAATACTTATTTTGTTCAAAATAATCCCAGTCACTAAAGATCAACCAAGGAGGATTAGAAGTTTTACCTTTAGACAGAATACGACCAGCCCGAGGTGTCTCTGTGCAGGAATCTCAAAGTTTGGGTCTTGCCTGATGTGACTTTCCAGGAGCTTTGCCATCTCAATACCCTGCACAAGTACGACATAGAGTTTTATACACAAGCAGCAAATGCAGAGCAAGCACTGGGGATAGACTGGTTCTTACATGTTGGACATGAGCCTGGAGGTTCTTCATTCCAAATGCACGAAGGACAAACCAGAGTTTCAGGGAACGAAAGCGGCGGCTCAGAGGAATTTGCCAATGCTACACAATGTCAAAAAACAATGTATGAAGAAAATGATAAATTATGCAAGATAAGGTCTAGAGCAGGCATGTCTAAACTTTTTTTTCATGTTGGCTCTCTGCATTGCTAACACATAGTCGTCATTGAGGCACTTTCACAGTGTCATCCAGCCAACTTCATAGTCAGGCTCTACCTTATTTTAAAGCTCAGAACCTCTGGAGTCCGTCAAAGTTTATATAGAAGACAAAAGACTTTGTATACTTTATATATAATAATATGAAACATTATTTGATTGTGTCCTAAAATTCCATATATTGCGTTTATGCAACAATATGGACCTTGAGCCGAAGAAATTCCTAGTTTGTGACTTACTGTTACTTACAACGGAAATGAAAAATATTCTGATTCTGACATCATATTTTACTGGAAATCTCAAATCCTAGACAAGTCTGGTTCCTAAAATGTTTGGACACCCCTAGTTTAGGGTTCAACTTCACGTAATGGTTCTTTATACAGTATTCTGCACTCACCACATGAGGCACACTCTCTTCTTCTCTACTCTTTAGTTCCATATATTTTACAAAGTAAAGACTGAAAAGTAGATATTATTAAAAATAATAAACGTAATGAATAACTGTGTGCATTTCTTGGGATATGCTTCAATTAGACAGTTCCCTTTTCTGTCTTGGTTTGGTGGGTTTCTTTTCTCTCCACAGATCTAACCTGTAATTTGCCTTTGAAACTGGACTGTAGGATAGTTACACTGTCACCAGTAAATGCAAAATAAATGCGCACACACAGTGTTCTCGAGTCAATCACAAACTGCCCGTAATAACAGAGGCCAGTGTTCCTTTAAAAATATTATGGCTAAGCAACAACTTTAAAAAGAATGGGTTAGTACCATGAAATCTGTGGCGACTTGAGAGTTCTCATGTCTGAGGTAAAGAGGATCCACACTGAACGTTTGCTGCAGCTTGAGTTTATCCTTCACCCTGAAAAAGGTACAACAAATACATCCAAAAATAAACTTTTATTCGCATGCATGTTGTGCCTTTTGGTTGCATCGTACAACCCAACCTTGGGATAGGATGTAAGATACAGTATTTCCAAGACATGAAAATATTATACCTGCCAGTTAGCTGCTCCAAACTTTAGTTTTCTTTCAATGTGTGAGTGTGTGTGGCTGTGGGGGTATTTGTACTTAGGCAGGATTGTGAAAAAACCACTGGACAGGGCTTAAATGTGGTGTAAATGTAAAAGTAGAGGAAGACCCTCATGTCAACAGGACATCAGGATCCCCCTCTGCTGGTGAAGGCGGACATTGCGCGGAAACCGAGAAATGACCACGAGCAATGACGTCATGTGGATGGGTGCAGTTGCTTCTTTAAAACTACTACTGGGCTGTTCGTTTTCTGCTTTTGTTCCAACAACAAAGTCAACACCGTTAACCAAGATTTTTTTTAGTTGTGGTTCACTATTTATATGATAGTATAAAAAAAATGACAAATCGTCTTTAAAACTTGCGATGAGACTTTTTACTCATATCATGTTTTTGAATGTGAAATACAAAAAGCTTTCTGCCTGTAATGCCCTTGGACAACCAAGGGGAGAAGATAGATTGTTTTGCTGTTGTTGTAAAGAACGTCATTTCACCCGAGAAATTAGGTGAACAAATGTTGTTTAGAAAGGCAGAAAACGGCTGAGTGTGATGTCATAGTGGTACAATGACATCACACTATTGACCAGGGGTCTGGAACCTGAGGAAATGGGTAGAGTCTAGTGGACATTGGTCCTCCGCCCCTTATGGACCAATTGGCACATCAACAACTTTCTAAAAACCTCCAAAAGAACAACTGCTGTGATTTAGTGCTATACAAAAATTAGAATGAATTTGAATATGTGTGCTCCTGCTTAGTTGGAATAAAAACCTGTAGCCCCACCAGCCCTTTCTGGAACCAGTTTGACACACCTGTCTTAGACAGGAGGGGCGGAGATACATGTTTGTCAAAAGTTCCTGATAATATCATGTGGATGGAACGGAAAACACAGGTCTGTTTATGATGAGGGAATAATAATGTAAAATGCATTAAAAGCTGGAAATATCTCCTTAAACACAGACTAATGTCCAACTTCATGTCGGAAAAGGAAGAATCAAATAACTTTATTCACTAAGAACTAAGAACTAAGTATTGTCCACTAGACTTGTTGCAATGGTCTTTGTAAACTACAAACCAAAAGGCAGTGCAGTCGAAGTGAACCATCATCCACTTGGAGGGATTGAAGGCGAAAGAGTCGGCGAAGTCCACCCCCTCCAGAGGCCAGCGCAGCTCCGGGCAGAAGAAGGCGGTGCCAGCGTAGGCCGCATCCACGTGAAGCCACAGCCCCTCAGCGGCACCTGGAAGACACACAAGATTGTAGCTTATTAAGATATTATTACCACCAAACAATATGTATATTATAGTTACAATACTGTAGGTATGGTTAATTGAAATAAGTTTATGAATGTGTCTTTATAGGATACTACTAACACTTTTAAGTTAAGAGAAACCTGTATACAAGCCGCAACAGCAAAATTTGAAAATGAAGTACATTTTGTCCACATATACAGTAGGCCACACTTGAATAGAAAAGCTACAAGTTTTCTTGTTGTAATTTAGCAAATAGACGACTGTTTTAACTGGACACAACATGGCTCAATGACGAGGCGTTTTACAGATTCTTTGACTCATTCACCGGTCTATTTTGACAATAAACAAGTGTCCCATAGCTACTAACACTTCATGGAGTCAAAATGATAAGTCTGTCACAATAAAAATACACACATTGGCCACAACGCTATAAAAGCGGCAGGGTTAAAAGAACAAGAACAAAGTAGCGTCCGGAAATGACGGTATCTATAATATACATTTTTTTTTCTTTTGTTACTTTCTTTGTGGAGATCTGACTTAATCAAGACTGTTGCTGTAGTTGTGCCTCACTTCTGTCAATAAGACAAACCGTTCAAACTGTTGTCAATGAAGCTGTCTCGAAACGTAACAAGACATCTCTAATCGCATCTATTTTTTATTTTGTGGAAATTGTTGACTGTTCTATTTCCATTATCAAGGATGTGAAAATGTAGTTTATTGTGTGTTCTTTTATGTCCTTGTTCTGTACTGTTTTCTGTATAAAGTGTGATTGTATCGAGTTTGGGAGTTCTTTATAGGCTTCTCTTTATGAGCAGAATTAACACTGTACATATAATTTAACATAATTATTACGCACAGATTGGTCCGATTTCTGAGAGTTTGTCAAAGGCACAGACTCCCGTTGTTCCTAACGTGGCACACACCTGTAAAAACACAACACATGGTTAAATTAAAAACACTGTCAATAGCAGTTGTGAGAATGGACTTTATAAAGTTGTTGATTCAGTTCAGAGAATCAAACAGTTCGAACTCAGACAAGGCAATAAAAACCAACCCAAAGGTGTCCATGAATGATCGTATTCTCTGCTGCTAATTTACAATATTGTTGTGTTGTTTAGGTCCTTATTTTGAAATTCATTATACAACCATAGACATAGAGTACAACACAATAGAATCGCACCCCTTTCTACAATTGTTGTTTTGTTTCTTTTACGGTGTTAGAATACATTCACTTAATCAATGTTTGGCTAACTCATTCAATTTACAGTCTGACTTACATAGACATCAGATATACATTTAAAATATTATGCATCTGTAAATGCGAAACTTCCTGGCTGACTATGTATACTCATAGTGTATAGTTATTATATCTCTAGAGTTTATTGTCTGTTTATCATTTATTTATTTATTTTTATCTTTAATCAAAAGATCTTTAAACAGGAAGTCTGAAGTCTCTGCTTTAGACTGCTGCCCTCGCGACCGACAACGTATAAAGCGGAATAAAATGGATGTGCGCAAAGAGGAGACCGACATTTCCCCACTGAGCGACAAAAAAAGAGCATCTAATCTCGTCTAAATAGCATCATACTTTACTACAGAGGAGCAGTGATGTACCATGAACGGGACCAGCCCAGCCCTCCTGTCCTCCTCCATGGCCTGGAGCAGAGTGTCTCCTCTCAGACACAGCTGATCGTCACTCAGGAGAAAACGAACCTTCACCAAAGAAATGAGTCCTGCTTTTTCCACTGAAGAGTGCGCCTGTAAGCACCAGACAAAAGACTGTGTGTCAAAAGGTTGGTTGTTTTGGATTTATCTCGGTAAGACAAGTCATGAATCTGTGTGAGACTTGTATGTTCAAACTGAGCTGGTCATTGCAACAGCCTTTCTCTGTTTTATCTGCAAATGTGTCTACAGGTGATGCTGCAAACGCTGAGGGGAGCTTCGGTATTTTTCCATCCATTATCCATCTGATACTTCTGCCATTCACTAGTCACTTTCCTGTTAATATTATTACTGATGTTTATTCTGCTCATATTCTCTGCTGCTAAAGTACAATATACACATCTGTAAATACTTATGAACCACGTGCAATTATAGCCAAAGAGTTTATTTTATTATGTTATAATTATTTTGATTATGTTGTCTATTATCTTAAATAATAGATTATATTTGATGTGTGCAAACTGAGTGCACACATCAAAGGATAATTTAAGATGAAGGAATATCTTATCTTATCTTTCCCTCGGTACATAACCCGACCCGATCCCAGACCCAGAGTGTGTCAAAATAACATCATTTTGAATTGATCTTATTCAGACAAGGGACAGAAAATAGAGAAAAACTGACCTGATCAGAAGCGTAGGCCACCAGTCTGGAGTTGAGGATGGAGTCGTCCACGTCCTGGTCCAGCTCAGTTCGGAGCTCCAGAATCTTGTGTTTCCTCGCGGCTAAAAGAGCCACTAACGTGCTCTCACTCATTGTGCTCTGGAAACCACAACATTGAGACAGAAAACTATTGAAGGATTCTCAGATGAACAGAAAGTAGAGACAAAATCTGCTGTTTACATGACTAAAGAACAAGTTACAAAGAGTTTGAGCAATGTCCATGAATGTTGATAAATATCCTTTTATACTTTTAAGTAATCTTTCATCTTTATTTATATAGCGCATTTTACAGACCAAGGTCACCCAAAGTGCTTTACAATGTTCAGAGTTCAGATATTGCTCCATTCTTCCATTCTTTCGCCCCCAACTAACCCTTATGCTTTTAAATTTGGCCTCTGATCAAAATGAGTTTGACAGGCCTGCTCAAGACCAAAAAAGTCAGTAGCTTTGTGGGTTCAAAGCAGAATCAAACAGCAGCCGATTCAGATGGTGACTTTTTATCTGCATTATGATTGGGTGATTAATGTGAAACGTGAGTAAAACCTGCAGGATGCCTCCTCCCCTACTGTCCGGATGGTGGTGGAGAAAAAAGGAGGGAAGTCCCAGAGCTTTGCACAGCCAGTCCATAACATTCATCTCCAGCTCCGTACAAGCAGGACTGGAGGCCTGAAAGTAACATTAAAACACAACTTTTTGTAGTCAATCAACATGTGAAACTCCTCAACATTTACAGCCAAGGCTAATGTAATTTCCTGACAATATCATGAAAAATAATGGCACAGGCATAAACTACGTAAAGAACCAAAAGAGTCACAAAGTTATGAAGACCAAACATGAGCTTCCAAAACTTAAAGTCGACAAATTGACTGCTTTGGGAGTTCTGGGGTTTATAAAGGGCATTTTGTTTGTCAGAAAAATCTCACCCATGTGAAGCCCAGACAGTTGATGGCGTCCGCTAACATGTCCCCGAGCAGAGAGGGCCAGGAGGTGAGGCAGGGGAAGTACGCGTGCATGTGGGGGCTCTGCCAGTGAACCACCTGCACAGAGAGAACATACATGTGTGCGCCCTGAAAAAAGGGAGAATACACAGAAATGGTAGTTGTTGATCGGTGCTACTGGGTTGTGCTGCATTTATCATAATGAGGATCGATTATGGACAGTCATGGACTAAATGAAGCCAACAAAATCCAACCATATTGAAGGCTAATCTGCAACCAGCTCACTACTTCTGACTATTATCGATCATTAAAGAAATTTCCACAACACTAGAAGAGACGATTTCAGTGGCACGGTCGTCTTACCCCAGGCATGATGATCTTCTCGATGTCAGCGAAGATGTCGTCCCACCCCTCTGGCTCAAAGGGGGCAGTGTCCGGCAGCAGGTCCCTCATGTATCCAGGCTTCACATCGGGAAGAACCCTCCGCTCTCGGATGGACCCCAGATACTGAGTGATGTAGTCCACCAGCTCCTTTCCTGAACAATAGACGTAGTTCATCTTTATAACAGTCCAGTCACTGTTTAGGGCACATTTGTACATCGATGGAATCAGGTTTGGGAGTTTGAAAGCTAAAGTTAAACCATGCAATGTGGACCTGGTTGTGAAGATTATTGTTGAGCTGAGAGAGTAATGAGGGGGTATGAATATTTGTGCCAATACTTATTCCTAGGTCAAATTTCAGAGGGAGAATAAAAGAGGAAAAAAGTGGGATTAAATGTGAAATGACAAAACTTAAAGAATATACCAGTAAAAATTCTTGAAAACAGAAATCACTCCCATCATATAAGAATTATAAATGAAAAGAGTTTAATGCCATATTGTGGAAGATTTTAGTAACATTGAAAGACAAAAGAACGCATCCATCGACCTCTGGTAAAGTACAGAGTTATAATTTTTTTTCGGAAACATTTATAATAAATTCTATAATTCAAAAAAAGTGTGACTGATCTTGAAAAATACATTTATTCTCAAAACTAATATGAAATAAGAAAGATTACGACAGTGGAAAATATTGTTATGACCACCAATTTCTGAATACTAAAACAGTGTTGGAAAAGCAGTGTTGAGTAAGTAATATTACCGTTTTGAGTTTTGGTCCAGAACATGAATTATATCACACAATTATTTATTTTTTTCCCCTTTTTTTTTTTTGAGTTGATCCTTAATTAATGATGATCGGGACATATTAAGGACATTAATAAATTATGGACAGTGGTCATCCCGCTCCCTATGGACTAATGGCTCCTATGTGTTTGTTATTATGGACATGAACCAGCCCGGACTCTGAGGAGCACAGGGACTGGACTCCTGTTAGTGCCCAGAGTCAGAACTAAACATGGGGAGGCTGCTTTTCAGATTCATGCTGCTAAAATCTGGAACAGTCTTCCTGAAGATGTGAGACAGGCCTCCTCTCTGACAATGTTTAAAACCAGGTTAAAGACAGTTCTGTTTAGCTGTGCATACAACTGAGGGATTTTATATTTTTATCTTTCTTTTTAATGTTCTGTGATTATTTATGATTTTAATGCTTTCTTGTTTTGTTCAGCACTTTGAATTGCCTTGTGTATGAATTGTGCTATATAAATAAACTTGCCTTGCCTTGCCTATTATTGCTTGTCCTGTCTTCGAACCGTTTGATTCACTGATCTGTTGTTAAAGAATCAACAACTTTATCCCCTAAGACGACCCCTGTTGAGAGCTAGGGATATACTCAAAAAAACGAAACATTAAATTGAAAGTTAAATCAACTATATTGAGCATCTTTGTGCACTCAAACTATTGTAAACGCTGAGAAATCAAAGAAAAAGTGCTCTTATGACTGTGTGTAACTGATTCTAACTAGTAATATGAAAAAAGTTACACTGTTACAGATACCTGCCATCAGAAAATATTTGGAAGGCTTACAAATTTCTCTTTACCAAGTAGATCCTTTATTTGTCCCACAGTGGGGAAATTTTCGGTGTTGCATCACAAGTTATAGAACAGTAGGAAAGAGGAGCACACAGCACACGTTAAGTGAACAATAGCTGTACTAATAAAAAGAAAACAAAATCTCTAACTCTAGCATCAATAACAAGTATAAAATCTCGATCTTGAAAATAATAAAAGATGTAAAAATTTTGGGGCAACAGTAGCTCAGTTGGTAGAGCATTGGCCTTCAGGCCTGAAGGTCGTGGGTTCAATTCCCACCTCCACACCTTCTCCACCGACTCCCACTGATGACTGCTGTCGTGGTGTCCTTGGGCAAGACACTTAACCCCACTTTGCCCAAAGCCCCCACTGAAAGATCAAGGCTATGCTCACAGTCAGAGAGCAGCCGTCCTCCTGTGGACTCACCACCTGCAGAGGGTCTGTGAGGGGCTGGTGCTATGAGACTTGGGTGGCATCTCTGACTGCCACCCCCCTGACCCAGAAATGGATTAAAGGGTAGAAAATGGATGGATGGATGGGTAAAAATTTTAAACTTAGAGGCAATATAAAGTACTGTGTATTCTAGTGCAAGTAAAGTGTAGTTTTTTTATTTGTTTTAGTGCCATGAAACTAGTTTGACCCCTTCTTGAGCAAATACTTTCAAATTTACTATAACAACACAAAAATTGCATCAAGAGGAATAAAACTTTTTGACACATTTTCATAACGGAGATGTCTGTTTTTGCAATCTTCTTTCTTTTGCTTAATTCAAAAAGGATTATATTACTGCTGTATAAAAAATCTGACAAGTTACACCCAAATCTGATGATAAAGTAAGCAATTGGGATAAAAACAACTGGTGAGCACTTCAAAAACAATATCATTCCAGTATAAAGAATCTAACAAAACAATTATTATGCAGTTTTTACAATTACATTATAAACAGAGGAATGATAGAACGATTTCTTTGTGAATGGAGTGAGTCTTACCTCTGCGGTTGTACTCTCCTGGGTCCATGTCGAGGCGGTTGTGGCTTTAGTCCAGAAGCTCCAACAGGGAACTGTGTGATGCGTTTGAATGAAGCACGGACTTTAAACAGGTGAAGATGACCCGACCCCCGCCTCCTCCCCGTCCTCATCACTGTGACGCAAAAACATCCACTGTCTCTGCATCTGGGAAGACAATGATGCACAATTTCTACACCAAACATGAATCAGCCACGTCCTCATGCAGAACAACTAGAGAATATTGTGAGAAGTTCAGGATTTTTTTGTTGTCATTTCAGAAAGTTAGAAAAATCTTTTGCGTTTGTGCAGTGTGATAAATGAACCGTTTTTATATCATCTACTGTACAGAAAAGTAAAATGTATTCTATTATGTATATTAATTATGCTGTCGGGAGGTGAGATGAGTGAGGATCCAAAATTCAGGATTGTCCAAAATACTGGTTTAATGATAATAAAATAAAGCTCCAGGTGAAAAAAAATACAAACAAAACACTGGAATCAGGAACACAATGGACCAGCAACAAGGGGAAAGGAGCACATGGTACATATAGACACAGGTGAAACACATTAGGGCAGGCAGGAAGTAAAACTAAACTAAAACCAAAGAGAACTAATGTGCCACTCTATGACATTTGCTTTGATACTTGGTTATAGTTGGTTTTTTACAGTTGAACTAACAGTATCTTGTTTTCAGTTAAATATGATTTTAATATAAATATCAGCGTCTGAAGTCTCAGTTTTCAATCACTGTTAGTAATGGCAGAAACAGCCCATTGTGTGATGATGATGATAATAATAATAATAATGATACCAATAACAAATAATAATAATAGTAATAATAATAATGATGATAGTAATAATAATAATTATAAAAATAATGGTAATAGCCATAACAATAATAATAATAATAATAGTAATAATAATAATAAAAATAACAATGATAATAATAATAATGATGATAGTAATAATAATAATAATAATACAAAAAATAATAATACAAATAATGGTAATAGTCATAAAAATAATAATAATAGTAATAATAATAATAAAAATAACAATGATAATAAAAATAACAATGATAATAATAATAATCATAATCATAATCATAATCATAGTCATAATAATCACCAAAACTGCTAGAACATAAGCAAAACATTTAGATTTGTTTTGGTTGGGTTAAAAATTCACAATAGATTCAAAAGATTCCAGAAATGTTTAATCTTTTTAATCTCTTGACTGTGGATATTGCCACATGTGGTATTGTGCACTTGTATCATCACTTTCAGATGATGGATCAATGTTGGTGAATGACTCAAAATAAACAAACAGTGAAAAGGATTACTGAGAGAATAAGAGCCATGGGCGAGTCGTGCAGCTGGACCTACCCTGGTGTTTGACTTTGCTTTGTGTAACATATGCGGCACTAAAGAACCACATCATGTCAGATCTGAGGTGAGCTGCAGCCAAAACTGTTGTATGTACAGTATATAAGACAATCCTCATTCACCGTCACTATTAGTTCTCACAGAAACAAATATATCAACTCTGGACACTTTTTTGCATCGGCTTAATAGCAGTCATTATATTCTCATAAGTGTGGCATTTAGAAATCATTCCCAATAATACATAGTTCCCTGCAGACGGTGTGAGGCAGTAGTGAAAGGGTATGAATGGAGGTTATGGCTGGGCACATGTCTGGTAGGAACATGTTTTCTTTATTTAATTATTTGTATTTGTATTTTGGTGCCAATACTTATTTCAAGGTCAAATTTCAAGCATAAAATGAAATAAAAAATGAAAAAAAAAAAAAACCAATTGATTTCAAGAATATACCAATAAAATACAAATGGAATCCAGAGATTAAGATCAATTGAGTGAGGCTATTCCTTTTTCTGTGTTCATCTGGGGAAATATCGAGGCGTTCCCAGGTGAGTTGAGAGACATAGTTCCTCCAGCGTGTCCTGGATCTTATGATGGTGAAAAGGAAAAAAACATGGTTTAAGCCTAGCCTGGCTTTAGCCATCCGTACACTCCGCTCAATCATCATTTCACTTAACGTCTGGGTCTGGTCCCTGTGTTAGCGATTACAATCGGTTAAATTTTGACCGACCAATCAGCGAGCGCGGAAGGTGGGTGTTGTAGATAGTTGTGGGCGACGTCAAGAGTTTGCGCCGAACGGGGAGGTTGTGGTTTGGCAATGGCAAAGAATGCGATAGTAAAGAATTCCGGGCTGGTTCTATCAAGAAATTGAAGCCGGAGCAAGAGGAATGTTTAGCAAATGTAATTGCTGCAAAGATTGTGGCGCTACCCCCCACGGGCTCCGTTAGTGGCAAAGGAGATGGCTAGGCTAAATGCTAAATGCTACTACTCACTCTGGCGCATTACATATGTCAAGGTAAACTCAGATCCAATCGTTTCAATCTGCAAAAGGAGTTAACCCCTCCCACCTGTTAACGGAGCACAATGGAACACATCCAGACCTTAGTACGTAATGTAATTTGTACAATGGTGTGGTACGACCAGGCTAGGTTTAAGCCTAGTGAGTGATTTTAATGGTTAACAAATGGTTTAGGGGGCTTTGTTTTATAGCAAGTAGGAATTTGGGAATGTTTGTCAGGATGATTCTGTTTTACTATTAAGACGGTGATTGACCATCTCGTTTGAGGTTGTCCCTCATCATCTGGATGAAGACAATGTCCTCTTCCTGCATCCAATATGCACATTTTATTTGTTCTTTTCTTCAATTGTTAGTTCTGGCAGTGTGCTTGTTCTCAATTGAGTGTTTGACTTGTCTTTGGTTAGACCTATTTTAATGTATCAAATACAATTGCTATGATCTTTATGTGTGTGTAATACTTGAGGCTATACAAGCAGGAAACACATGCACAAAAGAACAGAAAACTTGGTCGTATGTTCATATTTAACACACTATCAAAGTGATAGATACATGTAAAGTAAGTCTGTGAGATGTGCCATGTAAAAACATTTGATGATGCATTGGTTATATAAGGTGCTTCACATGTCATTCATTCACTCCGTGCACATTGGTGATACACTACTACTGTAGCCACAGCTGCCCTGGGGCACACTGACAGAAGCGAGGCAACCAGTATGTGCCATTGGTCACCACCAACCATTCACACGCACACACCAGACTCATTAATAATAATAATGCATCGGTTTTATATAGCGCTTTTCTGGACACTCAAAGACGCTTCACATGTATCATTATTCTTTCACTCCATTCACGGTGGTGATGAACTATTACTGTAGCCACAGCTGCCCTGGGGCACACTGACAGAAGCGAGGCAACCAGTCTGTGCCATCAGCCCCTCCGACCACCACCAACCATTCACACCAGACTCATTCTAGGCAATGGGGGTAAAGTGTCTTGCCTAAGGACACAACGGCAGTTTGGCACTTTACAGCCGCAGCCGCCCCACTGTGGCTGGTGTTCCCAGAGGTTAAGTGTCTTGCCAAGGACACAACGACAGTAGACAGTGGGAGTTGATGGTGAAGGCCGGACTCGAACCCACGACCCTCTGGCTCAAAGGCCAATGCTCAACCAACTGAGCTTCTGTGCTACTTCACCCACATTCTAGGCAATGTGGGTGAAGTGTCTTGCCCAAGGTCACCACGACAAGTTTGGCACTTTACAGCCGCCCCACTGTGGCACCTGGTGTTCCCAGAGGTCTCCCATCACAGTTACCCTCCCACTAACCAGGCCCTGCCCTGCTTTGCTTCAGAGGGGTCTGGCAAGTTTTGGGACAATAAACAAGTTTATTTTGGTTGTTCAGTCATTATGGTCAGTTCTTTACAGTAAAGGAACAGTCTTTGATAAAGCAGCTTAGCTAGTGGCTTTGTTACGTTGTTATTATAACACAAAGTTAAATTTAACCAATGTTTAATACTTTTTTGTTGTTTGTGTTTTAACTTAAGCTTATTTTAACTTTGTTTATTTAGTCACCCTTTCTAAACAGAGGTCTTTCATCCAAGAGTAACACAAACACAGTGAAGCCATTGTCTTGAAACTTTAACTTGATATCTTTAACATAAAGGATCAATAGTATGTTTATTTAGTCACCGTTTCTAAACAGAGGTCTTTCATCCAAGTTAAGTAACACAAGCACAGTGAAGCCATTGTCTCTGTCTTTGATGAAAGCACGTTTTAAGCACAATTGTGCAATTCAAACCAATATGCAATATCAAAGTCAAACATATTTATAATACAAGTCTTTCTTTTGCTTTTATTTCAGTAAAATGCCACGTTTCGAAACAATGACGTTTTACATTAAAAACTATCCGTATCGCGTTGACGTAAATAAGGAGCAAAGGTTTCTTACACTTTGTAGTATACGGCAAGGCCAATTCATAGTTTGTGTGTTCCCGTTATTTACAACAGCAATAAAAAAGTATTCTATTTCTGATTCTGGTGTTTATATATTGAGTACATCTGGAGAAGGGTGCATTTAAAAAACATGATAATAATTATAATCTATAATAATAATGGATCATGGCTCAGTTGGTAGAGCGTTGGCCTTTGAGCCTGAAGGTCGTGGGTTCGAGTGTGTCTAGTGTGTGTGTGAATGGTTGGTGGTGGTGGTGGGAGGGGCCGATGGCACATACTGGTTGCCACGCCTCTCTGTCAGTGTGCCCCAGGGCAGCTGTGGCTACAGTAGTAGTTTATCACCACCGTGTATGGAGTGAATGAATAATAACATGTGAAGCGTTTTTGAGTGTCCAAAAAAGCGCTGTATAAAACCCGATGCATTATTATTATTATAATGTTATTATACGATATGGACAGAACAAGAGTATTTTTCATTACAACTTCAGTTATATCACAATCAAAAGATTATTTGGAGATTGTGTCACATTAGTTTAACAGAAAATGGGCCTTCGATAAAGTAAAAAAGCAGAAATATTCTCAAAAATTGTTTTGGAACTTGAATATTGAGCAGAAAGATCAAAAAATATTTTTAAGGGCAAACTCTGTCCTTGGTGAAAATCGATTTAAAATCAAATTCGTCTAAAGCAGGAAATAAAATTGAGATTTTACTTTTTTGTCATATCGCCCAGCCCTACGTCTCGTCAAACAACGTGCCGTGAGGACTTGAAGCTCTGTGTGCGCTCCCACATGATTTTGTATAATTTTCTGAAGTTAATACTGAAGTTCCACAGACTTCAAGATTCATGATTCAAGAATTTATTTGCCATTTGCTGTAAAACCACATTGGAAAAACTGTTCTAGATTACCCTATTCTCCGTGTTTGTAAAGGACCACAGAGACATGTTCAGGACACATCATAACCAGTGAAAACAACTGTGGCAGATACATACATCCATCCATCTATTTTCTTATTCTTTGGATTAAGGGGAAGAAAATGGATGGATGGATGGAATTCATGCAGTGCAACCTGAAGTGCTTTACACAGACATATAATCATATAATTACAAGCATTTTAAAACATAAGGTAAAACTGTAATATATACAGTCTATGGGTAAAACATCAACGGAAAAAAATCAAATATTTAACTTTTCAGACAGAATGTCAGAAATATAAGTGTATATAAAAAACTCAATATATAAAATAACCCATATGCACAGCTACATGCTGCACATTCTACATGCACATGTAGAGGGGGGGGGACAGAATCTGTGTATAAAAGTTTGTCAGATTGTGCTTCTGTCTGCTGATCCATGACACCCGAATTAGATCAGAATTACATATATCCACCATTTTGAATAATAATGATATATTAAACCAAACGCTCTATGGGGACACTCAAATCCCCATCGAATGTCACCTTAATGAAAGCTGTATAGGTTCTCTGTCAGCTGAGGTCGAGCTGTTTTAGTTCACATTGAGTTCTATGAGACATTTTTTCTGGGTAGCCCGCATGAATTTAGTCTGCAGTACCACGGGCGCTCCCTGTGCCTGTTGGTGGGACAGCTGTAAGCCTGCAATACATGTCAAGATAGGCCCCTGATCTCAGAAAATCCTAAAAACGCCCCTGACTGGGGCTAAAAATAACCGTGTTCCTGTAAGCATGAGTGCGCTAAAAAATATGTTAAGGTTAATGGAATTGATGTTTATGTTATGATTTAAATGAATGTGATTATAGTAAAAGAAAAAATGGGTTGACCTACATGCGAAGCGCTGAAATCACTGTACTGGGTGTGAAATAAGTAAATGGGTGTTTTGCGAAACTATGCTGCAAGACGATGTCCAACAAGTAGTAAATGTATAAGCTTTACCCATTTTGTGGAATTTCCATGTGAGGGTGTTGGTGTTTTGATCTTTCAATAAAACCCAATCCGTGGGAGAGTAAGTCAATTAGTGACTAGGAGAGAACGCTATGCAATACATGTTCTGTCCTCCTGTTGCACTACTATTGACACTGTTTCTTGATTGCCACTTTTTATTGTACATAATATATCCTGCATTAACACTTTTGCACATTTCTTTCTTTTGTACAATCTTGAGTGATTCAAGCCATGCCAGATGTGACATGTAAATTTCACATGTGTGCGATCAATAAAGTGTATCTTATCTTATCTTATCTTCAATCCCAGTCATTCCTCCTAAAGTAAAGAGTTAACTTGTCTTTGTGTGCGTTTTGTCGAAAATGACTATAGTAGAATCAGCATTCACATACCATAAAATGGAAAAGGTTCATACCACACCCATAATACATCCATGCTTCCTACAGTGCGAAAGAGGCCTCCAGAAACATGCTATTATTTTATGCTGCCTGTAGATGGCGCTCGTTGGGACTTTACGTTTCACCGGAAAAATAAAGCGCAGAGAAACATCAGGAACCAGCTCCAAAAAGTCGCAAAAGTGTCATCAACGACCCAATAGAGGTGAATATGTCATCTAATATTTCATGTATAGAGCTGAATGGCTGTTTTGGGGCGTGTTAGCAGTTTGTTTGGCGTCAGTCACATGCTGTCTTGTGAGTGCCTGGTCCTTCCTGTCCTCTTGCTAGTTAAATGGCTTTAGCCGCTAATGCTAACAGGCTAAACTGCGTGATGCCTTTATGTAGTTCCGATATATAGAGCTAGCTAAAGCCATAAACAAGAGTGGTTATATACTTAAACCGGAACCTTGAACACCACACGACACTGCCTCAAATGTGACACTGGGACGTGGTTGTTGTTGATCGTCTGCCCGTAAAGACCAGAGAGACCTGTCACATCGATGCTAACATTAGCTAGCCTTCAAAAACAGTATTTCATGTTGACAACACACTGCCTTACAGGTAGGGTAAATATGCCTGTCATAGATGGTGGGGCGTTATACATTATCATCCGTTTTGTACTGTAGAAACAGACCAGGGCCTTTCTGAGTGGAGTTTGCATGTTCTCCCCGTGTCTGTGTAGGTTTCCTCCGGGTACTCCGGTTTCCCCTACCACTAAAAATATGTACAATAGGTCTGGCATGCGCCTTCTGTTCGGCGACCCCACTCCCATCTCTGTCTGGAGTGAGAGACAAGTGCCCAAAAAAATAATAACAATTGTAAACCGCTTTGTGACCCTTGTCTGTGAAAGGCGGTATATAAATAAACATTACTTACTTACTTACTTACTAGAAACTAAGTATTTACTAACACATTGAAAGCTATACTCAATCTTACGAAAGCTTAACTTCAGTTTTCAAGTTTGTGACTGGACTGTTTATCATTGTGTATGTTGTGGTTGAGTTCATTGTATAATTGTGGCGTTAGCAAATGATAAAACCACCCCAGTAGAAAAACCGGACACTTTTACGTGTATTTTTGTATGATGTTATGGTAAGATGCGAGAAACAAAAAAATAACAACAATACCAGTACAAATATTTGTGCTTAGCTGAAGTATAAAGAACTGTATTTCCCGGATCAGTACACTGGGCAAATGGTAGGAGGGGTATCAGAGTAATATCACTGTGTTGATGACATTTTTGCTGTTTAGTCAATTCTAATTTGTGTATTAGCAGCATAGTAATGATATGGACATAATAAATAGCAGACAAGGTGATATGCTTAGACAGGTCTGAGCGAATGTGTCAGGGGTCTAAAAGTATTTGCGAGTGTGTTGGAAGGTATTGTGCGCTTCAAGGACTTAACCAACTTTTCTAAATTACAACGTGAATGGCTAGTGGACGGACACACACCACATCGGTCATTCTTGCTTTATCACAGTGTTGCACAATGTTATAACTGATTAATAGCACATGTAAACATTCAGACTTATTAAGAGATACTTGTTATTAATGTGCTCTAAACAGATGTCCTGGGTCTCCATACCTCACTGAATGCCTGTATTGTTTGAGCTGTGATTGGAAACACTTGCCAAGATGCCTGCAGTGTCCACTGGACCCAAAGAGCTTTATCTGTCCTCATCTCTGGGCGAATTAAACAAGAAGGCAGAGGTGAAACCAGAAAAGATCACCAACACCAAGAGGTACATTATACACTTCTTTTATACACTATGTTTAAAGCTGCATTTTGGATTCTCAGAGATTAAATGTTGCGAAAGCCCAATGTTGTAGTGATTGTGTTAATTACTGATATAATAAACCTATTTGTAATCAACCATGATAGTAACATTTATGGACATTTATTCACATGTACATTGTTCTCCCCACTCCCTATGAACCACTGGCTCATATTTGTTTATTCTTTTTGCATTTCCTGTATTTGTACTGTTTGAGTCAGTTGTTGGTGAATCAACAACTTTTTAAGTCCTGCAAGACGACTGCTGTTGTGATTTAGGGCTGTAGAAAATAGTAATGCTTTATACATTTACATTTTCAACTTGTAGCAAAACTAGAATGTTGAGTATCCAGCTTGTACTTGTGTAGATAGGCTTGCCTGGTAGGCAAGGCAAGTTTATTTGCATTGCACAGTTCATACACAAGGAAACTAAAGTGCTAAACCAAATAAGACAGAAATAATGTAACAGCTAAACAGATCTAACAATCCACAATTCTTTATCGTTTACCATTTATTATCTTGTGTTGCAGTTATGTCCATAGTGCGTGCAAACTCTTCAAAGCTGCAGAGGAGAGCCGTTTGGACAGAGACGAGGAGAAGGCTTACGTGTTCTATATGAAGTATTTGACAATTTATGATGTTATTAAAAAAAGACCAGACTTCAAACAACAACAGGTAATAAAAACTAATCTTTTTTTTTTTTTTTTCTTTCAATGAATGTTGAAGCTCAAAAAACTGTGCTAATTTAAAGATCTTATAACTGTGTAAACTTCCCTTCTTCCACTGCCTGTTACAGTGGACCCGTTTCAAATATGTAGTTTATGATCAATAGAATTTGAAAAGGTCAAAATACCAAAAATCTCCGTACACTACAACAGCAGACAATGCCACTGTATGCCCTCTTTATTCTCTAGTTTGTTTATTAATGCAATGCTTCCCAAAATGGTGTTAGTGGCTAGAGGCCGCTTCCAAAAGTTGTCCACATGACAAGCAATTGTACAAATATATTTCATCTAATTTCAGCCATGTCTTTAAATGTATAATAATAATGATAATAATATGGTTTTATTTTCTTTGTATACAGGATTTTTATATGAAACTGCTTGGACCCAATAGCATTAAGAAAGCCATTGAAGAAGCAGAGAAACTATCTGAAAATCTCAAGCTCAGGTTAGCAGTTGTATGGTTTAACTCTATATAGAGCTACTGCACATCAACTCTGTATGTTGAGAATAATATGTGTGCAATGTCAGGTATGAGGAAGTGGAGGTGCGCAGAAAACTCGAGGAGAAAGAACGACTGGAAGAGAAGAAAAGAAAGGAGGAGATCACTGAGAAAGAGAACAGTCGATTGTCTCCGAAAACAACAAGCAAAAAGGACAATAAGAAGGTACATGTGACCTGTTTGATATGAATATTTAAAACTCCTGCTGCAGACGATCGATGCAGCGATGTCCCGGTTCAATGCAATTTGGTGGTTGGGGAAACAGAACACGAGCCATTTCCTGTTGTTTATTGGACAATTCGAGCAAGGAAAGACTGTCCATTTGACTCTCCATTGTGTACAGCACTCAAGAATAACGTACACATGTCATAGATTCTCAAAATACAGAGCAAAGATCTTTGGTTTGACCTTGCAATTTGGCGTGAGGGAAGTAGATTTCGAAATCGAAATCGGAAGCGTTTGTGACCACGGCTCTGTTCTTGTGTGTCAAAATGTGATTTGCATCTCCACCCAGCAAATATTTGAATATGTGCTCCTCATCAAATCCCAAGTCAAAGTGAAATTGCAATGGAAGATGTTTTAGTTATAAGTTATCACAAATGTAGAAGTTAAACAGAAATCTAAATCTAATGCAATCTAATGAACTTTATCTTGTCACTTTTTTAGGTAAAAGATGGACACAATGAAATAAAGAATGCAACTCCAAAAGGTGAGGATTAATACTTGGATGGTCCTTGTTTATAAAATATCTGTAAAATATGTTTGAAATAAATCTTGGTAATTACATTAAAAGAGACCCAAAGATCAGTGTTCAGAGAGCAGGCAAACTACTCAGGGCCTCATTGGCCGCACCAAATTTCCAACGTTTTTCTCTGGCTTCCCTTTCTTTTGGTCAACATATTATTTTTATTATAATACACTAATTATGATATACCACGGCAGAGCAATGAGCAGGACAACAGCTCCAGATCTTTATACAATATTTACATAAACTGAGGCGGGCTCAGGAGCCTGATAGAAACGTCCAAAGGGCCGCATCTGGCCCATTATGATGATTATTATTATTTTAATATTATGCACAGTACTTATATAGTGCTTTTGATGACACTGGAAGACGTTTTGCATGGCATTATTTATTCACTTCATGCACTGCTGTAGCGACAGCTGTCCTGGGCCAACCAGTCTGTGCCATTGGCTTACTGTGTGTGATTGGTCTTGCCTGTGGGCACAACAATAGTTTACTGCTTTACTGCATCACATCCCAGTTGTTTAATGATGTGCCATTGTTTTGTTCTACCATGGTTTAGACCAATCCATTCTGCATTACAGAGCGTGTTGATGATTTTAGTTTGTGTAAAATAAATATGTTGTCTTGCTAGCACCGACGCCTGCCGGAGGAATCACAGCTGAGAAACTTATGGCTATGATGAAGGACCAGACGATCACATTGATTGTAATGGACGCGCGACCATTTAAAGACTTCGAGGATTCCCACATCCAGGTCCCAGTTCAGACCTGTATCAGTGTACCTGATGAGGCCGTCAGCCCTGGGTAAGGATCAGACTTTTCTATTTCAATCAGATACTGTGTATAGGAATGGGCAGATTTATTTTTGATAATGTCTTTGGTCAGTTTTATGATCAAATCTGTGGAGAGGTGACTTTCCTCACAATTCACAATATCCAACGTAAAATGTGTGTGTCTCGTCATGTGTGCCTTTCACCTACTGTATATTGACAATCTAATGGTCACTTTACCCCAGGCATGTCCAAACTAAGGCCCATGGGACAAATGTCATGTTACCATGTTAAGTTAACATGGTCATCCAGCCAAATTCAGCTCCACCAATATAGTCATGATGTACCTTTTAATGAAGCTCCAAATCTTTGGAATCCAGTCCTTAACTTTATTTGTGTATTTTAACAATGCCATCAATTTGGTCAAAACTGTTTTAGTATCTGTATTGTCGGCCCCTGGACAAGTCTGGTGAACCAAACTGGGCCTTTTACTATAAAGGTTGGGCATCCCTGCTTTTCCTACTGCTATTATTATTTATTCTGGTCATATTCTCTGCTGCTAAAGTACAATATTAACTCTGTAAATGTGAGACTTCCTGACTTCTAACTACAGTGTATAGTCTAGAATTGCAATTATAGCTTGAGAGTTAAGATCTATTATTTAAGATGCTAGATAATTGTTTGGTGCGTGTATAACCTGAGTGCTCTTATTTGCCCGGTAATTTCTCCTATAATATGCTCAACAATCACATTGGCATTTCCCCGCCGTGGGACAATGAAAGGTTATCTTGTTTATTTTCTAGAATCACCGTGAATCAGATTGAAGCGAAGCTGCCAGAGGCGTCTAAGGACCAGTGGAGGAAAAGAGGTTTTGTTGAATATATTAAAACTGAGACAGTAACCGCACCGTCACTTATCAGGCATTAGTGGCCCCCCATCAGGCAGGCCACCACTCCTCCCCTGATCCTTAGTTCCACCCTCTCCCACCGCCCGACAAACCCCTCTCTACCAAACTACCACCCCCCTACGTGAAAAACCTCATGCATCAACAGAAAGTAAAATATAGAACAATACACACATAAAACCAAATACCACTATTCATAAAACCACCCATTTCACAATCCTGACCCCACATCAGACCCTAAAACAAACAATAACAACTAAAAACCATCACCAAAATTCGCTTACATGTCCCTTATCTATTATACTCACCGATGTTGCCCTAAAGACCCAGCAGGGCCTCCTAATCCCAATTTAAATTCTGTTCTTCTCCACTCCCATTCACCAGAAAACACCCATTAACCCTGCCACCCACCCCTATCACCCCCCGCTACCCACCAACCCCCCACTCACTGCCCACCCATTATATCGGTGCATATAAAGTGACTCCTACACAAAAAATTTCCTTCCAAACTCCCCTTAATCCCCCCCCAATTTACACCTCCCAATACACCCCTCACACACCATCACCTACCACACCTCCAAAACCAAAAACTCAAAATACCCCAAACTACACCCCATTCCAAAAAAATACAAACCATCCTCTTATATCCCAAACCAAATAATCAACAACCACTACACCCCCTATTAATTACCTCACCCTCTCACACACACAAGACAACCACCCACCCCTAATAATAATAATCTCCCCGTTCCCCTTTTCTCACAACCATACTCCAACCCCCCCATATAACATATTCCAACATCCACCTCCCCATACCCCTAATCACCCCCACTACCATCCCTCCACCCCACCATCCAATACTACCACCTAACCCCCCCTCACCCCCTTACCCCCCAATAAAACAACAAACCATCATAACCTTAACACCCCAAACAACACCCCCCACAACCCCAAAACCACCCAAACCAACCCCCCCACTCAAATCCCCCACCCCCCCTTCCCTCAACCCAATCTTCCTATCTAATTATCTTATTACACTTTTTAAACCCAAATTCTAAATATATCCCAATTTCACCCCCCTTCTCCCTAAACTACTCCACCACCCCCTCCCCTCTTCACTCATCTCCCCTAATTACCACCCATACCCCAATTTCCTCCCCCTCCCCCTTACTAACCCACACCCCCCCCCCCCCCCATATCAAACCCACCCTAATCCACTCATCCCCATTCCTCACAATACCCCTCCACTCACCCCATAAAAAACCCTCCCACAATTCCCCCAAACCCCCCACTCTCCCCTCCCCCCTCCACCCCCATACACCCCACCCACCCCAACCCCAAACCATTATCATCCATCCATCCCACACAATATCCACAATCAAATCACAAATAACCTCCCCCAACCCCCTTTCTACAAATCTTTTACATCCCTCTATTATCCCCCCCCTCCCTCACCCCCTCTCCTTCTCATCCCCCTACCCTAAACCCCTCACACCACCCCCCCCCCAGTTACCCAACTCCTCACCTCCTCCAACTCAACCCATCAACCCTTATAAAACAATCCCCACCCCCCTCACCCCAAACCCAATCACCCCCTTCTTTTCCCATCCCCCCCCATATCAATACTCTCCAAACAACATTCTCCCCAACCTTTCCCCCCCACCTTCTCCACCTTAACACCCCTCCCCCCCCAACACATCCCACAACCCCACCACTCAAACCCAACCCTACACCAATCCCCAACACTTCCACAACCCATACTAACTCCTACCTTCCTACACCCAAACCCCTCTAACCACAATACCAAACTCCCTCCCCTCTCCACATCCCTCCACCCAACACCACTCCTACTTCCCCTCCTTTCATCCCCCCAAAACTACCCCTTCCCTAAATTAACCCCCT